GAAGTCTATTCTGGGTATAGTCAAGCATAAGAAAAGATTATGCAAGCACTTCTAAGAAGCAGAAGAAAATATTATGCAAGCACTTCTGGGGACAGAAGAAAGAAGAAGAAAAGAAAAGATGCCAAGGAAAAAGAGATAAAATGTCATGTCCAGCTGAGGAAGAGCACTACTGAAGAAGAAGAATCCGGGTTTAGGATTTCAGTGAGGGCTTTGCATGGACAAAAAGATTGGGGTAACCAACTCTTGATGACATGGAAGGATACAGATGAGGAAAACCTACCTAGTGCAGCCAGACAGGCCAATGTGAGATGTCTTCAGGTCGTTAAAAGCTTCTAAGAGGAAATACTTACCTGTAATTCATATTCCACCGATAGTCATCAGCTTCTAGGAGAAAAGACTTAATGGCATGCATCTTCTACTGATACGATAAGACTGTCTAGCTCAAACACACATTGTACATAACCATTCTACAGCACTACAGACTTTCCAATCAATTCTCTCTAAATGCAGTTTAACTATAAATTGTATTTTGTTGATTAGTTAAATTTATCAACATTTGTTGAGCTGTATAATCTAATACACTTTTGAATAACTAAGTTAGTTTTGTAAATCCATCTGAGTTGTTGTGTATTATCATGCATTGAATAAAAATGTTCAATGTAACTAGAGGTGAGCGGATAGTGAAATTTTACTTCAGGTCGGATAGTTAAGCCTCGGTTCAGATCAGATCAGATATAAGTTTGGATTAGGATAGTTAGATGTTCATGTGCTTATTAAGGTTAATAATGGATATCAAACCAATAAAACATTGCAATACTGTGTGTATAATCATTAATGTAATGATTTGCATTTAATAAAGGTTCTGCTGTATTCTGTTTGGACGTTTAACTATTCAGTAAATGTGAAATATAAAACTTTTACAGAGTTATAACCTATGAACATGCCGGCAATGTCTAATCGCAAGCTAGGGCCTAGCTTGACTTAGAACATCAGGTATGTTTTGTACACTAGGTAAACCCACAGAATTCCGCCATTCGCCAACAATCCAAAAACGTGATGTAATACAATGTGAGTAATATAAACCGAAAACTTGAGCATAAAACGAATTGTCTTGTGAGAACCGGAAAACTATTAAGCTCAAGTGCAAGGAAAAGTCTGAGTGTTTAAAGTCATGTCAGTCGTCTGCTGAGGTGAAAACTCAGGTCGCCAGGTGGGCTATAAAGCATTCAAGTGACCAAACTTTTGAAATTATATGTTGTGAATTGTAATATTGAAGAGACTGAATTGTTGGTATCTCTTTTCTGCTTTATTTTTGTTTTGTTCTAGATGAATCAAGTGACCAACCGATAAACGACTTAACGAGAACTCGTCATGCATCAAAACGAGACTTCAAGTTCACGAATATTTTAAGAATGCAATACCGCACGTTACATAATATATAGATTTTATTAACACATTCGCTGCGGCGTAGGATTAGTTGGATATTTTTTTTTACAATAGACAACCTGGCACGTTCGGACATTTAACGGATAGTGTCAAATATCAAATTTGGGCTCGTTTTGCATATCCCAACCAAACCCGACTCCATTTTTCAAATATCCGCACACCTCTAAATGTTATCAAACATGTATTGTTTGTATTCCACCTGATTAAATTTACTGTAAGTAGTTTTATTTGTGAACAATTTGATTTTGTCTTTTTAGCGAATTTCCCATGTGTGTTTTATAAAATAGAAGAATTTTATTACCATCCCTAGAGTTAATTTTTTCACTTTTTTAACTATTAACATTATTTGGCTAGGTTTCTTTCTATTTTCTTTTACTTTGCAATTTTCTAGGCTAGGCTCAATTTTGACAATGCACCTGTTCTATATTTTATCACATGTAAAAGAATGTTATGTGCAAATAAATAATGTCTAATTACTAATAACAACTAAAGTTTGTTTCAGAAACAAACAATGCTTAGTACAAACTCTATTAGAAATAACATCATAACTAAATATTACTAATAACAAAAAGTGTGTTTTAGATACAAAAGATGCCTTAGCAACTCTAAAAAAATTAACATCGTAATTAGCATTACTGATAACAACAAAAAGTTTGTTTCAGATACAAAAATGTTATCCTATGTTATGTGCTAATCAGTCATGTAAATTATTGTAATAGATAACAGTACGCCTATTAAAAATGGAGAGGATACAGCTAGTTTTATAACAATAAATTTATTGAACTGAGCAATGATAATAATATTCAACCCTGTGAGCAGGAAGCATTAATATTAACTCAGACTTACTTTGATTTAAATCAAGCAACGCTTAGTTTAACAAATGTGACTGCAAATGCGGTTTCAAAAACTGTAATTTTGAAAAATGATTTAATATCAAAGTCTTCTTGGGAGAATATTAAAATGGGTGTTCCACAAGGGTCAATCTTAGGACCTTTGCTCTTTTTACTACTTATTAGGAAATATGGTACGCTAACTAACTGCATAGAAACAGACTCTCTCTGATGTTTTGTTGAGCTTCCTGATGTATGGGTAGAATACTTCGAAGTCGTTGTTCCCAAATCAGCATGTAGTTGTAATACGCAATATAAAGCGAGACAATCTAAAAAAAAACCAGAAATATTAGGAACACTGGAGATGAAAAGAACAAAAATCATTATAAGTCACTGCCCATTAAATAGTCACTTTATAAAGTCCGTACCAGTACTGGTTCATGACTAAAATCAATTCTCGATAATGGAACCATTGGTATCTTGACTAATTCCTCATTCTTTAAGTGTAGGCCTAAGTTGTGAAAATTTATTTTTTTATGGGACACATTTCTTTTGTGAAACTTTGCTGGTTACATATACATCGAGCCTATGAATAGCCTTTTTTATTTTTAATATAAATATATGGTATATATGGTGTGTTTATTTATGATTGCGATAAAATAACAATGAACAGTAAGTTTTGAATGAATGGGTGAGAAATGTTCAGGAAATTTTAACTTTTGATTAATCACCGTTTATAGCTTATAATAGCCAAACACCTATTCATAGTGTCTCCACCTTTGTTTGTGGACAGCGGGAGATTGAGACGGATACTCAAGATAAGCGATCAAGAAGTATGCTAAGTCTATTTAATACCGGGATCGTACAAACAGATCATTTTACGTCGGCGCAGTTGCTGGAGTATCTGGAACAAGTATTGAATACAAATTTTTTCAAGTATCGAGAACCGACGGTTCCTTAAGGGTTGACCGCGGAAATTATGGCTCAAAATCCAGGTTATTTTAAGGTTGACTACATTCATGGTTTTAAGGATTTTTCAGTTTAGTGAGCTCATGGGTGAAGAAAGTTATCTTTCTGTTGTATATAAAAAAAATACTACTTATGATGCCAGAAAGAACAAAAACTTACGTTGCATTTTTGATCGATAATTGTTTGTCGTTCGTCAACTTCTAAGTAGCTCTGGCAGCAACATTTTGGGTCTGTAACAAATAAAGCATTTATAAAACCATATTAATAACAATGAACTACAGTCGGGACCACGTAAGTTTGCAGTTGAGGGAGGAGCCTATTTACCTTATGGTTTTGATTGAACCAATGAGAACCATGCAGTGTTGCCAAATCTAATAATACCAGCTGATTTGAAAATATTGCTTAGTATATTTTAATTAGTGTTGTCAACGGGCGATGTGGCAACGTCGCACTAGCCATGTCTTGTGATTGGTTGCAACCAACTGCAAACTTAAGTGGTCCCGACTTAAATGAAGAAGCTGAAATCTAGTGTAAATAAAAGATTAAGAAATATTCTGACTAAGGTTGCAAGAAACAATACAAAATTAAGAATTGTCATTGGATCCCAATTGAAGTTTTGATCAAAGAAGGAAATGGAGATCAACCAAGTGGAAGATGGATGAAGACACGGTAAAAAATCTGTCTTAAAAGAGTTGATTGACAGATGAGAGACAGAGGTCTTTGGGAGAGACCCATGATTTGAAGTATGGCAGTGGTACCCTCCTGGATGCAGGAAAATGGGATGGTAACAAAATATGTAGGAAAGAACACTGAGCAAGGATTTAGCACATTTGCTACCGACCGCCAGATATATGTGACGCTACGGTCATTGCCACGGACTGAGGTATACATTTTAATATTACACATCTAGACCAGATGTCCCTTGGTTCACAGTACACTCAGACCACAGGCCAGTGAGGCAGCAAAGAGCAAAGTAAAAACAGTTTTGCCAACTATCATATGACGTTCCTTCCTAATCATCATATCCAAAAACCAAGTGGCGCACATATGCAACAGACATCTCTGTAGACCACTGCAGAGAATTCAGGGCCTTCAATAGACCGTTTCGAAGATATAAGCTTTTTAATAACATTCGGACACCGACGCAAATATGCGATGTCAGTCTAATTTTGTGTGACCATCCGTCGCATATATGCGACGGCAGTCTATGGATGGAAACCGGCCGTCACTGGTCCATATGAATGAAAAATATAGTACTATTGCAGTAGCGAACATGTTAAAGGAGAAACACAAAACTTGAGAGTGGAATTGGAGAAAAGCTACCATATTGTAATGGAGGGTACTGTAGATTAGGTGAGCTATTTTGATGACTTTGGTCAGACTTTGCAGGCTAGGAGGTAAATCATTTTACGTGTAGGTATAACACAGTAATATGGAGACTACACAATTTTTTAGAAAATTTTATCTTTACAACATATATTGTAAGGTTTTAATGAAATTAATGTCCTAGCTAGTGACAGTTAAATTCAACCTATCCCCGAGAGAAGGAGGAGCAGAGGGTCAAAACGAAAAAGTAAATCGGTCCAGGGTCCAGGTCTTACCGTGAGACCTTCGGTAATAGCTTATTCCCTATACGGAAAATTCACTAAAAAGTTAAAAATACAAAATAAAATTGAGGTTTTGGCCTTAAAATGCTTAATTCAGGAAGCTATATCCCAAAAATACACCAGGCCAGGTGGATATGGATGACCTACTCTACGACAACAACATGAGGTTCACAACTGCCTTGCCGACCACCAACTCAACATCGAAAAGAAACATTACTTCGACAATGCAAGGAACTGATTGCCTGAAAACCTGACAAAAACACACAATCTTTCTAATTATGTCATAAAGAGCTGGCTGCAGAATCGATCTGGATCCTATATCTTTGACAAATTTTTTAACAGGGATTTCGAGGATAACAAAAGACTAAATTCCCACCAAAACCCAACCCTCACTGTTTACCTACAAGATGAGAAACAATTTCCTGCGCAACATAAAACAAACAAGCCCTAGAATTCCATATGCTTGTGCGAGATAACGGTAAGATAAGAAAACGTGATCTTAAGCTGATCTGAACAAAGAAACATCTCCATATTATGGAGAAAGATTGCAAACAGGCTGTGCCAAGATTTGAAGATTGAGTGCTTAGGCTGGCGCTGGACATGGTGGAGGGGATGACTGTAGTTCTCTACCCTGTGACCAGGGGCTGTACTATCAACACTACATTATTATAGTTTGTCTTCACTCCAAAATGTCATCACCCTATAAAAATTTTGAAGGATGTAAGAGAATGATGTCATGAATCAAGTTTGTTACTCAAATACTGATCTTGCTTTCAAGAGACAAACTTACTTGCAACTATAAGGCACAATAACAGTAACCAGCTAGTTCTTCCTGATTCAGGGTGTCCACAGAAATTTTGTCTTTAATTTCCCTGACTTTCCATGACTATCCATGACCATTAACCATTGATTTCCATGACTCACGAACTTAACTCAAAAATCATAATATACCGTATACACACGAATAATACTGCCTAGACAAGTTATTTCACAGAAAATATTGAAATATGTAATAACAGATAACAATGGAGTACAATAGGTACAACAATGAACTAATACAAACTCAAAACCCATAAACTAAGACAACTGTATAAATTGAAATTGTCGTACATTTGTGAAAAATTCGGAAAATGCTACAATAGTTGGGGTTACGACCGACTAGAGCATTGAAAGGTCCCCTAGAATCCATCCATCATTGGGGATTTCCATGACTTTTTGTCTATTTCTATGACTTTCAATGACCAGAATTTTTTTCCATGACTATCCCTGACTTTCCAGAATGTGGACACCCTGTGATTAAATTAAATTAGCTCTGCTCTATCTTCTATTCAGTCGATTAAATAACAAAATTATTGTTAACAGTAAAATAAAAATAAAAGTTCTATATGGCAATTGGCCATATAGAAATATTTCCATATTTCACTGACAAAACTTATCAGTGAAATAGTTAAAGTAGGGTAGCCTACCATTTGAGCAGTTATGAGTATTTCTGCTGTTTCAAGTTACAAGTATTAGGTATCTGCCTTAATTTTTTTTTTATATATCAACTTTGGTTATTGTTGTATTCTGTTTATCCTACCAGTTAAATAAAAACCAGTGAAATGTATTAAAAAAGCAGTAGGCTACAATAATGAGACTAATGGTAAAATGACTTACATGAAAAACTGTGATCCATTCGTGTTTTTCCCCTGTTTGCCATTGAAAGCAACAAGGGTTTGTCATGTTTGAGGGTGAGGTTTTCATCTTCAAACATTCCACCGTAGATGGACTCACCCCCTGAGCCGTTCATTGCCGTAAAGTCACCACCCTGAATCATGAAGTCCTTGACCACTCTATGGAAGACAGTTCCCTTGTAATGTAGAGGTTTTCCCGTTGTGCTACCCAAACCTTTGTCCCCATTACACAGTGCGATGAAGTTTTCGCATATTTTTGGGCATAAATCCGAATACAGCTCGAATATAATCCTGCCAATGTGATTTTCTCCAACTTCAATGTCGAAGAAGCAGCGAGGGCGGACATTCTTTATCTCTTTTCCTTCACCGATGTTTAAAGTATGCCTTGCTGAAAATAAAATAGCGATGTTATTTATAACCAAATTTATAGCTACCGGTACCTAATTAATCTATAGTGATAAAATATAAATACCACTTGGTTCCTCAAGATGATATCTGAAAATGCAAACCGTAATTTCCACTTTAACATTCAATGTGAGAATTTGTTTTTGTGATTTCATTATGAAATCTTATTAGGTTATTTCATTTTACATCTTTTAACTAATGTCATATGTATTTCAACACTACTAGTCAAAAGAGGTAAAACAGGAGTCGTGTGCAATCCCCATTAATTAAAATTACAAACAGCCCCTCAAGGCAAAAAGTTTGCTGCCTCGAGACAAAAAGTTCTCTGCCACAAGACTTGAGCTCCTCTATAGATAAAAGACGTTCAGTAGGCTCTTGATCATTCAAAATTGGTGGCCAAGCAAATAAATTTGAACTATCAAGAGGTTTGATTGTATCGAGAAAAATATAAACCATTTGAATTACAATGAGTTAGTTGACCTAATCATGCCGCTTAAAAACAGGAAAGCACCAGGATATGATAGTTTTACAGCTTTGATCATTAAGAAAATTTAACTTATATTGTAGAGGTTCTTGTTTTTAGCAAATTTCCCATATAGGCCTAGGGAATCAGCAAATTTCCCATATATCTCACGGTAAGACTTGGATCCGGGACCGATTTACTTTTTCTTTTTGATGTCCCTAGAAGCCAAAAACACTATCAGTTCAAATGTATATATTGTGTGTGTCCATTAGCACGATAACTCAAGCAAAAATGATCCAATTTTGATGAAGTTTGGTACAAACGTGTAGGCCTTAACCTACGTTTATTCAAACGAGTTTGTGAACCAGCATGATCGGACCATGGGACATAGTTTTGCTTGTTTATGGATATATTTGGATCAAAATTTGGCAAATCTATTTATTTATACTAGCCTAATCTATTGATATTTTACTAAAAAATACACTTTATTATCCTCCCTATAGGCAGCTCGGTACTATAGGTACAGCTAGGTACTCGTTAAACCTAATGTTATTTGAATAGATTTAATTGAAAATCAAATCAGGCAAATGGAAATTCGCTTAGTCTGCAGGTTTGCTGCGGCGGGAGTATTTTAATAAATTTTAGTTTATTTTAAGATGAATTCCCAAATGATAAAAACTAAAAAGGGTAGGCCTATTAAGACAGATCCAAGCAATTACAGACCAATCGCTCTGTTATATATATTTTCTAAAATGTTGAGAACTAGTAAAGACTAGACTAATAAACTTTCTAGGAAAGCACGTAAATACTTTAGTGATGGGCAGGTTGGGTTCAGGAGAAAACTTAGCACTAATTTGGCATTATTACATTTTATGAGTCTAAGTTAGTGTATAGCGGTTTAAATAAAGGTAAAATATTGTGCTGGCATTTGATTGACCCATATCCCTTCCCTTAAATGTTATGTGTTATGTGTGAATCAAGGTAGCCATAGAACTCCTGAAAACAAATTCATACGTCATATTTCCTGGAATGAAACCCCGTTTTTTTCTTGTGGTAATTTCCAGTCCCCATAGGTAAGGTTTACAGCCAATTGTTTTAAGTTCCCTGAATTTTAAGTACCAGTAACAGAATTTCAGTGCATTACAGTGTAACTTAATTAAAATCATATGGCCTCGGCAGTACCGTCTAAATGATATAGACCTTAAGTTGTTTTTTTTAAGTGTAAGCATTTATAAACAAAATCCGGCTCCATGCATTAAAGTAACCTTTTGTAAAAATGGCTTGTTACAGGTCAAAAATTAACAGACAATGTAATATTTACACTGGATTTAATTTTGGAAATCCTAGATTTATTAAGGCCTTAGCCTTAGTCTAGTGGATTATTTTATCTTATAAAAGAATAATTTCTTCCATTCATAATTTCTATCACTGAATAATTCAATTAAATAAGTTGAACATCAACTTACCTCCATATACTGCATAGTTAGCTCCAGTTATTCGGGATAAGATGTTCTGGAAATCAACACTAAGCTGATAGTCTACAATTTCTCTATGTAAAATAGCTTTCTCCAAAGACGAGATGAGATCCTTCAATTTCAAAATTGATTGTAGAGTTGTTTCTGAAAAAAAAACACTCAAATCAACCATGGGACAAACAAAGTTATTTCTACACTATGAAAAAACAACAGTTTTCAACTTCCTGAAAGCTTGTATTGGTACTAGATGTGCCTTTGAGGACCTTGATGAATTTACAGCCATAAAACCAGCTGCCTTTGGGTCAAAAGATCCACACATTGCTGAGTGATGGGTTTGTACAACTATTTTACAAGCTGTCGGCATTCACGGCCACTTTGATAAATCCTTGCAGACTTAATGATTTTTTTCTGGAAAATGTTTTAAATTAATTCTTTACCAACTTTTTCTCCAGCCTTTGGAAAAACAGCAGTAAGTTACTGCAGATTATGAAAGCTTGAGGCCTAAATAAATTCCTCGATTAAGCGCACCATAAGAATGGTCAAAAGTAGAAAACTCATACTCTCTAAAGCGGTATAAAACTACAATAGATTTTGTCAGACCAAAGTATAGTGTATTTCTTGGAATAGCAAAATAGGCAAGTATAAACTATTCAAAATTTTAACAAATACTCGATTCAAGTAGTTCCTCAAGTAAAATTTTATTTGGGTTAGTTAAGCCAGAGTACTGTGAAAACTTCTTTCGCCTTCAATGATATGCTAAATTACTTGTAGAGTATTTGTCTTGATGCTTTGATTAGGCCTAACTCATATTTTGACAATAATTTAGGTTAGGTACCAAATTTGCACAAATTATTTCACTCTATTCTTTGTTTAAAGTACATTTTCGGTGATAGTCAGTAAATGTTAAAATCTAAGACATAATTGCGAACATTTTCTATCACAAGAAGAAAAAACTAAAGTTTTTTTATTTCGGGATGTGGAACTTGTGGACGGGATTAGATTTCAGATCCTGAAACTTAGTGGAAACTTTTTTTACAATATGCGATTGAAAAATATCCGCAATAACCTAATCACTTAGATTCTGTTTAACTGCATGCAATTCACAAAAACCATGGTCTTTCGATGTTGCTAGCAAGTGGTATACAAAAACTTGAATCCTATGTTAGACTATATAACAATCAATTCCCTGACCCTTGACCTGAAAGTTGCGTAAAATAAATACCTGTATTCTGCGGTAGGTACCACGTCATTCCAATCCGAATTGCTGTAAAATTCTGTCACGCATGTTTTGTAAAAGTCTTAAGTCCATAACATCGGGAATTATTATCCCTGCCTCGTTGCTAGCAGTAAAAGCAGCAGTGACTGAGTCTAAAAGCTTCCTGACTGGAGTTGTTCAGAGGCAATTTTCTTTTGTGTCATTATCTGCAAAGGTCAAATGCATGCATTTTACTTATTCAAATGGAAATTAGTAAATATGCAGGAGTTAAAAGCGAGTAGGCCTAGGCCTATTGATTATTATATACCTCAACCTGTCATAGTGTGCGAGAAAAAAATCAGTAAAAATCTAATATTTTCATCTATAAAGTGCTGAGGTATATCGGGCCTCAAATGAGGAATCGAAAGAAACCATCGCTGTTTTGAAACAACAACAGAGTCAACCGATTTGCCCATTATTACCACCCCCCACACAATTGGGATTTGCTCACAAGATCAAAAGTCGCCTCGGCACGATATGTCGTCGCTTAGCACTTATCGGATGAAACGCGAACCATGGCACGAATATATCGTTCCATGACACTTTTCAGGTAAAAGACGCACAATGATATATCGTCACATAGCACTGAAAGGGATAAAGCCAACACAAACTTCCAAAAATTAAAACTAAACCATAACTTTAATAGGCCAACACCGCTGCTGTAACTGGAAACTATAATATATTAAGATCACTCAGCCAAAGTTCTCCGCCTGCACCAGAATAAGAGGAGAGGGGTAGAAACAGATGAGGAATTATGCATAACGATCATAAAGTCTAACACAATTAGACATTATAGAGTCTACTGCAGATGCCTATTTAAGACTGCATGTAAAGCCTCGTTCACACGAGGCAAGTTTACACGCTACTCGCCGGCGTGTAGGAAGCCGGCGAGTTGGCGAGTGCGCTTGTATTTGTTGACACGGAGCTTGTCCACTTGCCAATTCGCCGACGTGTAGAAAGACACCGGCGAGTCGACGAGTGCGCTTGTAGTCGTTCACACGATGCTTTTACCACTCGCTCAGTAGCTGACTTGAACTAAATCCTCCGATATCTTTGAATAACATGTGCACAAGCACAAGCAACTGTGTTCACACTGGGCTACTTTACACGCCTACTCACTCAAAAGCTGGCGAGTTGGCGTGCAAAGTAGCGGCAGCGTCAACTTTTTCCAGAGCTTTTTTACTAACAGCTTTTGGGCGAGTACGTCATTCACACTGAGCTATTTTACTAAGCTGCATGTAAAAAATCTGGCTTGTAGCTTGTAAACTCGTCCCGTGTGAACGGGGCTTATCTTATAGTTTAAGTAGACTGAGGCGGCAAAAACTAAAAAAAAACTGGAAGAAAACTATCCCACACTGAGCATTGCAAGTCGGCATGGTAGCCTAGTGCCACACATTTTCTGTGGGTCACACCACAGCGTGTTAAATCAAGTTTTTAACTTAGCTGTATTGTTTTTACAGGGCTATTCATATCTAGTCTTAGGTCTAGTAGATAGGTTACCATACAAAGTAATAAAATAGGCCCAAAAGGAAGAAAGGAAAAAAGCACATGGCTACTCAATTTCTGATTGGATGAATAGGCTAAAAGTGACTTTAACTTCTGTGGCGGGCGATTTGTAATGATAGCCCTTTGACAAGTTGGGGTCGAGAAAACTTAAAAAGTGCACAATCCCCCTTGCAATGATTAAGAAGCCAATTTCAGAATTTGGTATTGGGCCTAGCACTCAAAACTAACTTTTCAGATGTGTAAACCTAAGACGTAAGTAAGCACACACTTTAGTAAAAAGTAGATCAAAGTTATCTTACCTTGATCTATTTTCGTGTTTCACAGTCTTGTTAGTGCAATGTGCATTACTAAAAGTTAAACTAAAATAAATATAAAAGAGGTTAAGTAAAAGAGCACTGTCGATTTAGATGTAGTGATCGGAAGACGGCGAGGCGAGGGCGAAGTCGGAACGGAAGTACTGTCTAGCAAAATGCAAGAAGAGAGTAAGAGGGCAAATTGGAGGGAATGGATTGAATGGAAATTGGAATGTAATGTGATCAATGTGTCCACGGGTCACGTTTCAAACAGGCTCAAAGGAGCTATCCATTACGTCATATTGATGGTCCGTAGATCCATGACGTCATACTTAATTTTAAAAATTAATTTTCTAATTTTTGAATTGTAAAATTAAACTGCCATAACCTAACCAAACTTGCTGATGTCAAAAAACCCGAATTAAAGGCCTAAGGTTTACAAATCACGAAACGTCCCGTGAGCTTTGCATAAACTGAACCCATGTGTCCACATGTCCAGTCCACAATACCAAAACCAAAGTCCCACATACCATGTCAATAAAATACCATTTCATCCCGCTTTAAATAATGGAAAATCCCTTTTTATTCCGCATATATTTCCCCGTTCTATTCTGTGTGTCTTTATGTGTATGATATGGACGATATGGTATATCATATTCATGTTTAAATTGCCCTTAAATCTTGTGATTATACTATGCTAGAATAGCTTAATCAATTGGGGTTTGTTTTAGGTGAAAAGTACTAAAAATGACAAAGTGGTATTAAGAAGAAATGTGCGTCTGGTCTTAAAATCCCGTTGTATCGTATCCCGCGACCCGCATCCCCTTTTAATCCCAAACATGGTCAAAAGATCCCGATTTTGGGATAGAATCTCGCGTATGGAACCGGAAACTCTAAATGTAATGAAGAAGAGGAATACGAAGACTGACAGTAAAGGCATAGTGTTGCCACCTCACCTTTGCGGTTAACGGCGCGCCACAATTTAACCATTAATTTTAATATTTTTTTTATTGATATAAACTGCAATTTTTAGAATAAATCTTGCATAATTTAGTTAATTAGATTGAAAAGTTTGTAATATACATAAAATATTATTACGGAAAATCAGATCGCGCCAGCTAAGGACAGTAAGCTTAGCTGGCGCAATCAGATTTTCCGTACGGCGGAAAAGGCCGCTAGGGTGGTTTCCTCTCTTAGCCGGTTAATGGCCAATGACGGTGGCCTCGGTCCAGCCGTAGGCTGTTAATGTCTTCTGTCCAGTCCGTACTCTTGTACGGTGCTGAGGTGTGGGCAGACGCTCTCAATAAGGAGGTATATTGGATGCGGCTCGCCCGAGTGCAGCGTCAGGCAGCACTAATTTTGCATCCGCCTACCGAACAGTGTCCAAACCCGCCGTCCTGGTGGTTGCTGGAGTCATCCCCGTCAAACTTTTGGTGGCGGAGAGGAAGGCAATTTATCAGCGCCGCGGGGAGGACCAGGCACGAACAGAGCAACGCATCCGAACCTACCAGCTGTGACGTGAGAGCTGGGAACAGGAGACATGGGGACGCTGGACCAGGCGACTGATACAGCAAGTCAAACCTTGGGTTATTCGGTGGTGCGGAGAGGTGGACTTCTACCTCACCCAATTACTCATGGGTCACGGGTTTTCCGGTCGTACCTTTCAGGATGGGCTAAGCCGTGTCACCTGATTTCATATACTGTCACTTTTTTCAAGTAGTGTGACCAGTTACGAAGTTAGCTCTTTCCAGCACGGAAAATACAGGTGTCAGGTGACCCCAACCTGCACGGAATTTTTTTTGTTGAAATGTATGTAAATACTTCATAATTTGTGTTTAGAACCATACTAAGTTTATAAGGTTATATAAAATTGCATTAACAATTTTTTGTTGTTATCAGTTAGTTATAAAAGGGAGTTACACATATGTAACACCGTGCAGCAAATGGAACATATTTTATTGAATCCAATAAATATTAAAATTTAAGTTAGAGGGTTTCTTTGGGGATATCATAAATACAAATGCAAATTACAATATAAGAAAGTATATATTTTACACATACAGGGTGAGTTTTAATTGTCCCCCTCCCCAACTTTTTTCTACATTTTTTCAAATATCAATCCCAGACCACTTCCAAACATTGTTGGGTAGTAAGTACTTCATTTTGACAAGGTCTTCATTTCCGGCCGCCATCTTGGATCCGCCATATTGGATGCAAAATTTTTTTTTCAAATGTAAAGGTGGGGTTGTGACCCATTATTTCGAACTACATTTTTACCCTGATTACAATGCCGCAAACCATTTTCAAAAATCTTGGTTCATTCTAAAGTTACGAGGGCTTTTTAAAACATTATTTTTAGCCCATTTTAACATTGTGCATTTACAAACTAAGACCATAATCCCAAAATAGTGCTAGATAATGATAAGTATACACTACTAGTAATTGTCCACCTATTTTCACTTGATTATGACTGATGTATTTTTTTCGGCCGCCATCTTGGATCCGCCATTTTTAAATGTGATAAATTATTTTAAATATGAACGGGGTGTTGTGACCCATCATTTTGAACTACTTTTTTAAGCTAAACTCAATGCCGCAATCCATTTTTTGTTATCAAGTTTATTTATGAAATATTGAAATTTTTTTTGTTAAAAATGTCAATATTTCAAAATCAAAAAATGAAAATGAAAAACGGATTATGGAATTAAGTTCAGCTTAAAAAAGTAGTTCGAAATGATGGGTCACAACACCCCGTTCATATTTAAAATAATTTATCACATTTAAAAATGGCGGATCCAAGATGGCGGCCGAAAAAAATACATCAGTCATAATCAAGTGAAAATAGGTGGACAATTACTAGTAGTGTATACTTATCATTATCTAGCACTATTTTGGGATTATGGTCTTAGTTTGTAAATGCACAATGTTAAAATGGGCTAAAAATAATGTTTTAAAAAGCCCTCGTAACTTTAGAATGAACCAAGATTTTTGAAAATGGTTTGCGGCATTGTAATCAGGGTAAAAATGTAGTTCGAAATAATGGGTCACAACCCCACCTTTACATTTGAAAAAAAAATTTTGCATCCAATATGGCGGATCCAAGATGGCGGCCGGAAATGATTACCTTGTCAAAATGAAGTACTTACTACCCAACAATGTGTGGAAGTGGTCTGGGATTGATATTTGAAAAAATGTAGAAAAAAGTTGGGGGGGGGGACAATTAAAACTCACCCTGTATATACAATATAAAGCATTTCAACATCAATAGAGACCTGAATAAATGTAGTAAAGAAAATTCAAACACTGATGAATGTAAAAAAATTATAAAATGTAAAAGTTACTTAGCAAAAAAAAAGTAATATAAAGGCCAATTTATATTTAAGTAATATAAACATAAATTTAAAAGCGGGTTTCAATAAAAAAATTTTCCAATATGCCCAAACTTTATCCTAAATTGTAATGACATAAGAAAAAATTATAAATATCGAGCCAAAAATATGACAAAACCTATTTATAATGTCATATTATTTATAAAAATGCATAAACGCAATTAAAATTAAGTTTCTTGAAGATTTTATAGTTAGTTTATTATTTATGGATAGATATATTTGGAACGCTGAGCTGCATGGTGTTACATTTGAGTAACGCACGTTGAAAACTCAAAATACATTCTAGTTTACTGATTTTTATGACTCTAAACTATCACAAGGGACGCTATTACAACAGTACATTACAAAACAGCATAGGAATTATATAATCAATAACAACATATCTTTCATTTGCATAAAAATAAAGACGGGATCTTGGGCACGAGTCTTTCACCAGGAACAGCTGTTTTCTAGGAGTTATTTGTCAAAATGTAAACAAATGGATGGTGCTGCCACCTAGCAAAGGTCCATAGTACTAACATATAAAGTTTCCAGATGCATAGCGCTAGTAGTCTCGTTTACAAAAAATAAAATGTCTCGCGTTACAAAGATGTCCCACCGTGCAGCAAAGAAGTCTGTTACATAAATGTAACACTGTGCTTGACAGAGTTAAACATTTATATTAAATAATTACAATTTTGAGCCTAGCATCAGATGACCCGTCTAATTGTCATTTTCTTTCTATGATTACCCAAGTTGGATGTCTCCCCCAACGGCCCACCCAAAACCCCCGATTCCTACCGGTCCCTAATGAGTTGGGGTTATTGCTGAAAGTTACTTATTACATTTTCGTAAATATTTCTCTCATTATTTGACCAATAATTCTTGCATATCCGTGATCTTCTTGTTGTTCCGATTAATTTGAGTAACGATATGGCGTGTTTGAGTAAATAGGTGTTTTCGTCATTTTTAGGATTTATGGTCGTTTTCCGCGGAAAAAGAATCAGCGTTCAATATCAAACAGGATTTTATAAAATAAAAAAATGGATGCAACTCCTAAATTGCATGTTCACAGTTTATTTGTTGTGACTATATGAATACAAGTATTTCTTGGTTATAGGTATAATGGTCGTGTAGGTATAATTACAATTTAAGAATAGATACACACTCTTGGTTTTCGGGTTTCATCCACGTCATTTGGCTATGTACACTATAGACAGAAACTGTACCGACGTTTCGGCCACATTGCAGTCACTGTCAGCCATCTTCAGGGCAAGCGAGCACTATTACCGTGGTTCACAGAACTCCACTAGTTGAGATCTGTGATCTACGGTGATAGTGCTCACTCCTGAAGATGGCTGAAACCCGAAAACCAAGATTGTGTGTATGGATCATAAATCATAAATAATTTTATTTGACCATTAAATACATATTGTACAATAGGCTAAGTCATACCATGCATTAAAATTATGTACAAATCAAACTACATCAAATAATAAAAAGCAAACACGCAAGCATACAAAATAAAATCAAGAGTTCAAAGCAAACAGCATCTGCAAAGCAGCAAACTGCATCTTACCAAGCTATACATTACACTCGTATTATCTTTCTTTGATCATGCTAGTGAGATCTGCTTCATAAAACATATCCATGCTATATAGAGGGTTTGATAAAAGCCATGATTTTATAGTTTTCACAAGCTTAGTTTTACACAGTTTTCTTACAGCTGTCGGGAGCCAATTGAAAAATCGTATAGCTCAAACAGAATAACAGTTCAAGACCAAACTTATCCTAGATCTGTTCATTTGAAAGTTATTTCTATTCCTTGTATTATACATATGGATATGGATGTCGTGGTTTGTCAAAAATACTCTCATTATCTTTGATTGCTACTAGGCACTGACAAATGTAAATATTAATAATAGTCATTATTGCACCAAAGTTTGAACAATGGTTTTTGGAATGGGCTCGGTGTTTGGCATTACTTAGCCTACAATTAATTGTTACTGTTTTTTTGCAACAGAAGAACACTGTAGGTCCTGCTGGAATGACCCCATAGCCCAGCACCATACACCCAAACCATATTATGAGTAACGACGTGGACGCCTATTCACGAAGAATGTAAGAATAGTTTTATTGGTCAAAATAAAACAAAAATTCGGAATAGGATTTTCCGAAAAGGGCCTTCTAAGCAACCTATTAGCCATTTTTGAATTTTAAATTTATATCTTAAAAAACATTTCAATATATCTTTAAGAAATATTGCGTATGAATTGAAAATGGCAATAACCAATTTGTGAAAATATAGTCATATTTATCAATGATACCTATATGAATAATAGTTTTTGTTTAAGTTAGCGTTTTGTTTAAATCCTGCATAACTTAAATAATTAAATTAAATGATAAATAAACAATGGTTGATTTAAAATTTCTTATATTATATAACAATAATTTGCTATGAAACGTTCGCCGAAAACTGTTGACGTTGTGGGATATCGACCTTATGGGAATATTTCGGTTTTGACGCTATGGGATGTCAACGCTTATGGTTGTCAACGCTATGGGACTTTTATTATACTTTTATTATACCGTCAGTTTGTATAATGATTTCTTTAAATATCTTATACCATCGAAATAATTTGAAAACTGTCCTATAGGTCTATATAGTATTTAAATATTTAAGAGCTATTGCAGCTAAATGAAATTCGAAGTTAAATAAATAAATAGGAGCAATGGGAGCTTACTGTTTTGCTTAGGTCCTATAACTCGTATCCCAATCTAGATTCGATCGAGTTCGAATTCGTCGACTCGACTGTCTTTCGTGACTACTTCTTACTTGCTCTTTTTTCTTCTTCAACTACAAAATATAATGGCTGGTAGTGGAAGATATAACGATTTTAGGTGAGAATAAACTATTTATATTTATTTGTTAACACTGGTCTTTACGGAAAAACGTAACCTAATTTATGATTTTATTCGTGCATTGTAGAGTTTATTTGGACAAACGGTTAATATCCATTCCCATTGGCTATAAGTGATCAAACATGCCGCCTTGCTGCAATGGTAGTCTACATAAGCTAAACTTGTGTCTTTATTTGTATTATAAGAAGATACAAAAACACATAAAAGTATGTTTATTTTCAAGACATGAAACCGTCTAAATGTATAATAGCAATAATTTATCAGCCTTAGATCTGTCAAATCAGAAGTCAATATGGTTTTAACTTACTTTGCTGGGCTTAGTTACACTTAGCCTAGCCTAGTTTTCTTTATGAAGGCTACCTAAGTAGAGGTGGGAACAAAGTACTGGAATCGTTACTTGGTAATCGTTACATGGTTGGTGCTAAAGTGGACGTTACTCAAGTGTCAGAGTACTGGTTCCGATTACTTCGTTATAGTAGCAAATCGTTTAGAGAAGATGATTCCATGCCATTTCGATTCTGTAAACCAGCTACCAGCTAGCTTGACAAGCGAGATAAATTGCTTTGAAGTTGATCCCAAAGAGCTCCGCTTAACTAACTCCGCCGCCGCCTCGCACCCGTGGGTGAACAGTTGATGTTTTTGAATGCGAAATTAAAATCAGTTTATCGGATTAAATTAATCCACTATGATTTGAAAATAATGTTAGTTAAAATTGTGTTGATTAGGCCTACAATGTGCGAAAACATATCTCGTAGATTTGCTTATCCTAACCTTCCTTAGAATGATTTAACTTAATTGTTACAAATTACTACGGTAATTGATTGTATCAAATTTGTGTAACAATATACAAATTTAAATTAATGATAGATTAAGTTTAGTTGATTGATTAATGATTAATAATTCATGAATCCTATATTTTGGAAACTCATTTAAATTTGTATTTATTGCGATACAAACACAAACAAATATTTATTTGGCTTCAGTAAACTTTGATTCAAAAGGCGTTACTGTAACTGGAATACATCGGAGTGTCAATATCATGACCATTACGAGTGCAATCGGTCGATTGTGGCTACTCTGTAACGGCAGTCACAAAGTAATCGTTTGGAATCAGAACGGTTAACTTACTTGTAATGAGTCCACGAGTGTAGCTAACATCGATGGAATAATTTAGCCCATCTCTATACCTAAGTTAGCCTACTCAATATAAAGCCTACATGTGGCTACTTTATAATATTGTGTCTTGTTTGAAATAGTTCTTTTCTTATAAAATTGACTGAAAGCTTGGTTTGTGTTTACTACTTTTTTCAAATTAACTCCCTTCAAACTCAAATATAGCGTAAATCAATTGAAAAATGTCTGTTGGTGGAGGCTTCTGCGAAACTTAACTTTGAGGATTAACCATTTAAACCTAGGCCTAGAAGGTGATCACACGCATTCTTTATGGCCTAGCTTGAAAATCTACACTTATCTTTTTGAACTGTGTAGGCTAAGTTAACTTAACTTAGGCTAGTTTCATGTAGGCCTTCTTACCTGAGTTATCTGGTTTACTAGTAAAGTGTGGAAAGTAGGCCTAATTGTAAACTGTAGGGCTTAGACATTCTTTTGCGACGACATATTTAATGTGCTGCACCAGTTTTTTTAGCAATTCTTAGACGGTCTAAATAATATGACCGTAGGTTTTTTTAAAATTCAGTACACCCTAAGCTCAGTGATATCGTATTTTTATCTAAAACGGAGCAGGCGTCATTTAGCTTTGTTTTGATACTTAGTGTTTAACACGTTCGCTGCTGACCGTTAGATGCCGGGACGGCGCCAGGAGCTGAACTATCGCTCGCCGCTACGTAAGCATTGTTGCCAATACACTGAATTACAGTAAAAACAACAGTAGTTGTACTGGATGGCAATGTTCTGCAATAAAACTGGCTTTGGACATAGTACTAAGTGATTCTGAAAGATAGCGGCACTGCCCAGGTTGCAGTCGGTAAATTAGTGTCGCTATCTAGCAGAAAAGAGGTGGGACAAAGCCATGTTCTAAACGACCCTGGTGGTGATTTTGGGAAACTATATTTTTTATTGTCAGAAAAGTACATCCCCACGAGCTGCAAAGAAATATGGGACGCTCATGACGAGCTGGCTGATCCATGGTAACGTTGAACATTAATGAACGGCGATGTTCCGGAACGTTCCTAGCTCCTGGCGTAGTTGCCCGTTTGACGTTCCGGAACGTCCGTAGCAGCGAACGTGTTAAATTTAATAAATCTACTCTGTATGTTTTACAAACTCACATGAAACCGATAATCTTCTATGAGTTCCAAGGTTTCTTCGTTATTCATGTTTCTCCAAACAACTACAAACGGATGACTTGTCAAAAATGTAAAGCAGTTGCAATTTGAAATGCAAAGAAATCCAAAAGAAATCCGTGAAATGTACGCCATGGAATGGAACTCCTACCGACTAAATTTGGGCATGCCTTGAGTGTTAAATAGAATTTACATGCTCTTGGTGCGCACAATTGTGGACATAGCCTACCTAATGAGATTTTGTTTCAGTTTGGGGATTTATTTATTTATGAAATGGAGCCTATTATTATTTCTTAATTTTCCGTTAAGGCTTTGAACAAGTGGTGGGCTATTTTAGATTTTGTGTTTAGAGTAAGTTTAGTCCCTCCGGCGTAAATAGGCAGCCTGATATAGGGAAAGGCCAAACCATCAAGAGACCACTTAAATTTATAAATTATTATAGGGACCATTGGTGCATTTAGGATGACAAAAGTTCCTGCAAAAAATTCAAAGCGATTCAATGACACTTGCACTTGTAAGTACTGTAGTAAGATTGCAGTTAGGCATTTAATTAACTTAATGTAGGCTACTTACTGTACGATTTCATATTACAGTAGGTCCTCAATAACACTCAAAACTTAATAGGTACGGTACCGTATCTCAAATTCCGTGATTCTTAAACATTTTTTGTAATCCTCATGAAGCAACCGTGAACCGTAATGTTTAAAATACTTTAAAAAGTCGTAGGTTTTTAGTAGTTTTACCTTGATAAGTCGAATTTTAAAGTTTTGTTATGTGTAATAATTAAGTACTTAATCTCTATTAATTTATTCAAAGTTTCTCGTTCATTCCTCAATAACTCTTAAGTTTACCTTTATTTCAAATCAAGGTTCTCACTCTATGCCATATACTGTGCAAGTCAGCTTTGATTCTCGCTGGGATGTGAAAATCCATTTTCTTTGATTGGCTAGTCCTGTTGTATTAGCCTGTTAGATAGCGTATTAAGATTATTTTGTGTGTGCAGGACATCACGTCGTGAGCTACACATGAATCTAAAATTTGATTTCATATGTTTTTGTTGTCAACTTGATTTCTACCGTGCAAAATGTTACACATTCATCCTAAGTTATTATCACCACGGTAGGCCTACATATTAAATACTATAGGCCTACTGTTTCATTCATAAAATAAATTAAATTATCCTGCTTGTACATTTACACTCTTCAGCTAATAGAAATAGCTTGAGCTCGAGTTATAAAGTTAGAATATGTAACATTCGAGTTATGAAGGTCATGATGTAACTTTGCCGTGTTCGTGTGTGTTACGGTACCGGTATATATGTTGATTTATTTTCTTTTTAGTAGATTTGACAGTTGGTTTGCTAAGGTTTTAGGTTAGCCATTTGTCTTTGAATTTTATTAGACCATGAAGATCTGATTTAAGTTCATCTCAATGCTCTCAGACCAAACTTTAAACACAACTCTTATCCACAGTTAAGGCTGTGAATGTGATCTGTCCAAATTAATTTTTTTGACCAGGATCATACGAAATATGTAGGCCTACTAGTATCTGGTGTTACATATTCTAACTGAGAGTCTGTTCTTTTTTGCTCAAACAAAATCTCAACGTTTTACGATTAAAGTTTGTTTATAGACTACTCTTTAATTTTATGGATATTTTTGTATGATCCACACTCTGTAATGTACTACATTTTTAGAAAACTACAACACGTTTTCAAAAAACCTAAAATATTTACAAAACTATGATAGGCCTAAATTATTCACTCAGATATCAATTTACCTATGATATGTAGGCTACGGTTTTTAAATTTTAGAATGTCGTCATTTTGCCAAAAGAAGCCCTGTAACTGACCTACAGTATGACAAAGTTTCAATGACATCAGATTCGTCATGTAACAGCTTACTTGTTTCAGGGGCTATGGTGGGGGACAACGGCCCAAGAAACCTCTGCCGACAGAGCCTCCGTACACCGCATTTATCGGCAATTTGCCTAAAGAAGTAGTACAAGGAGATGTCAACAAGATTTTGAATCAAGCAAAAGCGGTAAGCTTGAAATTTTTCCACACTGTACGTGTTTGCTTGTAATGTATTCATTCTTAAACAATTTAAAAAGTATTTGAATTTGTTTTGTTGTAGTATTTGAAACAGTGTTTATTTATAGAGATGAAGAATGGAGGCCTTTTTGCATAACTTTTGATTGTAGGTCTATTGCCAAGAAGTGATTGGTAAATAAAACCATACATGACACAGCTGTTTTTTTAGGCTAAAAATAACTTCTAAGTCTCAATGGGAGTCCAAAGTCCCTATAGGACGTGTGTTGAATTGGCATACTTTAGGTACCTGTAACTCCTGCAATAGCCTAGGCCTACTCGGCAAATTACAATGAAATGTTGCAAGGTTGTTTATAATGACCTGTTTAACAACTGGATGTAAAATCATAATACCTAATTAATATTCTGAGGAATTATTTTTAAAAGAATTTTTAAACCATACAAATTTTTTTAAATGAATTTTAAGGTTAAAGTTAAAAGTCACAACGTTGGCCCAATCTTAATAATTTTTCGTCCAAATCAGTAAATTATGTAATGACTAAGAGGCTTTAAAAATATTACAAACAAATGGTTTTAGAGCTATATGTAGCTAAGTGTGAAAAAACACAGTTTTTTCAGAAATTGCAGGAAACCAAAAGTAAAGCAGTCGTACTGCAAACCCACTGGTGTTCAAATAGTTTGTTAAATAAGACGAGTGCTAGTGTTGCGTGTGCCTGCTTATAACTGCAAACTAACCGATCGGCCGACGGTGGCAAAGGCATGTAGTTCAGTTGGTAACGGCGTTTCTCTGACGAGTGTAGTGTTGTAGGTGTCTGGCTTTGGAAGTTGACGGCATTATTGAGTTTAATAGGGATTGCACACAACACCTGTTTTTTTACTTTTTACAGTAGAGGAGGAGGGCGTGCTTTTTTTTCTTTCATTCTATTTTATTTGTTATAGAGGAGGACGATACAGATTGTTTGCTTTAATATTGGCTAAAAATGGGTATTTTGTCACATGAATTTATTCGCTGACGATGTAGCACTTCTAATCAAGGCCCCAAATGCAACCAGCTTAGAGAACAGATTCACTTCGGTCATCAAGAGCTTAAATAGTTGGTTTGAGTACAATGGTCTTCTCCTTAACAAAGACAAAACACAATGTCTCAATTTTGGTCTGATTGGTTCGTCTCAGAATAATCAAAGTAGTCCTGAAACGCAGCTCACTAATCCCTCATTGACCACAAAATTCCTAGGTGTCATTTTTGATTCCTCCATCAAATGGTATGATCACGTGCAAAGTGTTGTTAACCGCACCAGTTCTGCTCTGTTTGCCATTCGAATTCTCAGTTCAACTTGTAGCAGGGAAGTTCTTGTGGATGTCTATCGTGGATATTGCGAAAGCATTTTGCGTTATGGCATTGCTGTTTGGGGAAGCTCTTCTGATTTGGAAAGAATACTTAAGCTCCAAAAAAAAGATTCTTAGGCGCATTTTCGGTCTCTCCCATCGCCATCCTTGCAAGGAAGTGTTCAAAGATTCTGGCATCCTTACAGTACATTCGTTGTACATTCAGCAGGTCCTCATTTTGACCTTTGTCAACAGGGACCAATTTCAACATCTAGGGCATTTCCATGACCACCGGACGAGAAATGGAGGCATCCTCTGTTATCCGAGGCACAGAACTGCGGCCTTTGAGAGGAGTCCGTTTTACAGGGGGATCGATTTTTTTAACAAATTGCCTCAGGCAATAAAATCCCAAGACTCTTTGTCCCTATTTAAGAGGAACTTAAAATATTTTCTATGCTCAAATGCCGTGTATTCCGTCTCAGAATTTCTAAGCCTATAATGTGTATATATGTAGATTCTCATGTTGTATGTTTTAGTTTTAGTTTGTAAATATTGACGATGCATGATATTTGATACATGTTATTGTATACAAATCTAATGTGCAAATAAACGATTTGATTTGATTTGATTTGATTTGATTTGCTAGAAATACATATATGTTAACACAGTCCTAAAACGACATAACATAAAAAAATTGAAAATATATATTGGGTTGATAAATTATACAATTAAAATAAAATAATGTTTCAATAATTTCATTTACAACCTTGATAAATCTTGGTATAAGTGTGTTCAGAAAGTTACAGATTTAAAAATAAAACAAAAATTTGAAAATTGAAATAGACCGACAAACATTTTTTTATGTTGGACTTCCCATAAAAATCTGGAATTTAGAGTAATGTTGGGAAAAATTATTTGGTACCTTAAAACATCCACTATGTAAAAAAAAATATAACTATAGAAAAAATATTTTTTCTATTAAAGCCTGTAAAAATACTAATTTTGGAGTATAAAATAGCTCTCAAAAACTGCATTTATTTAGCTGGATTAAACACATATTCAAATAGGCTTTTGAAGAGTGTTTTTGCTGCTGGAGGCCGTAAAAACAAGATAGGTTAGCCTACAATGGTCCTGAGTCTATGTCCTACCAATTGTATTAATGGTAATAGCTAATTTTAACTTATATCTCCCTTTAGGTAATTTTACTGTTAACCAACTAAAAATATCAAAAGTCTTTTCAGTACATTTTAATCATGTCATGTGTTAAGTAGCGTCCAATTACTCCAATTGTTTGTAATGTTTATTTCCAAGTTTTGATAATTGTTTGGCAGTGACTAGGCCTACCTAATGAACAAATATTTAGCCTAATAAGAGTAAAGAATGTAGACCAGTGATACAGATAGTAGTTAACAGTGAAATTCACGGTTAATTTCCTCTTTTTTTAATATGGTAATGATCATTTCATTGAAATGTTAAGACAGTATGTTTTAAACTTATTTTCAAGAGGGCAAATTCTGTCTGAACTTTGGTTTCTTTTTGCTAATTATATTTTTGATTGCACCCGACAGATTGAAGGTTTGAAAACAAATTTAAATATTCTTTTCCCCAAGCTAAGTGATATTTACTCTAACAGTTTGAGATACTAGTCATCGACCTACTATCGAATCTAGACATAAGCCTTTATCAATATCAAAATACAATTAGAGATAACATATTCTTGTTTGAACATAGATTCAATAATGTCCATGCTGTTAATGTTATCTTTTGCGCATTACAATTAAATAGTAGGCCTATAACTTTAGTGAATCGTTTTGTAAATTTTAGTCGTTTTTCACCTAAATGTACAATATTAAGTTCCAATCTCAGGCCTACAGTTATTCTAGATATTTTTTAATGTTCATATTTTAAATAATGTTTTAACAATGAAAGTTGAAGTTTACATAGCCTTCTCATTTAGGCCTATTAAAAACGATCTTCTGAAAATTAAAATATTGTAGACTTTACCGGAAATATCTTAAATGAGCCTGATATGACATCTTTGCCAGGCTTTTATAATTCTACTTCTTACATAATAGTGATAAATGATTAAAACCTAAAATATATCTTCTCAATATGACTTAGGTTCTGGTATACTTAAAATATTTTTGTATTGGTAAAATAGTCAAGGAGGAATAGGCTTTAAATGTAGTAATTGAGTGGATTCTTTTGCAGACTCTTTGTTGGTTGATATTCGGTTCTGTATTTTATTTTACCATGTTATTTCCAAGATCATTTATGTTGGAATACAGTTAGTAAGTTGTATACAACTTTTTGATTTTAGTACAACTTATTGGGTGAAATCAAAATTTGTAGTTTCTTAAAAATGTTATAAATATTCAGAATAGAAAAAGTTTGTTGCTCTAACCTTGCCAGTTTAATATTTTAACGTCATTTTTGTGTTTTAACACTGATAGCATTTTTCAGTTTAAGATCCGATTTATGTAAGATAAGTAGCAATATTTATTATGGATATAAGTTGTTTAATTGAAATAAATTGTTTAAATCTCTGTGTGGAGAAATCGATACTGATTTACTTACTAATGTAATTTTACAGCAAATAAATGTGAAAAGCGTGCGACTGGTGACAGATCGTGAAACGGGGATGTTCAAAGGATTTTGTTATGTGGAATTTGAAGACTTGGAAAGCTTGAAGGATGCCCTAAGCTTAAATGATATGCTGATCATTGACGGGAACGCACTCAGGATTGATGTTGCGGATGATAAGCGGAACGACAGAGGAGGATTTGACAGAGGCCGCAGAGGAGGAGGTTAGTAACCCCTTAGTTGAACTACCAAATGTTTTGAATTCTAAGTGCTAATAATGTGTCAGTTAGTTTATGGAGGAAAACACTTTGATCAAGAATGCCTTAAAGAAGGAATGGATACACAACTAACCAAAAACTGTTCAAGGCCCTTTTAGGGGTATATTGATGTGTAGTTGTTTGTATTCATAATGGTTACAGAAAAAATTTTACAAAACTGTAAATTTAAAAATCTTAAGTTAGGCCTATTCTTATAGAAAATAAATTTAAACTGATGTAGGCTAACTTGCTTGTTTATAGACATATCTTTATAAACCTGCAATTTTACTAAAACACACACTATTATCTTCACTGTTGTCAGCAAACTTATATAAATGTTATATAAATAAAGAATTAAATCGGACTTGCTTAAGGAAAATAAAAAATTTGCTCAGTCCAAAAAAAAACCATAAAAAAAATTTGAATTTGAAATTTGTTTGTGTTGTGGCTTACTGCGGCTGGGATATTTTACTATTTTGTCTGACTTTTTTTGTGTTTTATTCACAGGTTTTGGCAGAGGTGGGGGAAGGGGCGGAGATAGAGGTGGCGATCGCTCATTTGAAGATTTTGGTGGCGGTGGGAGTGGTAAGTAATGAGTAGCAATCATGTTATTGAAATTTATCTCTACAAATTAATTTAATTATATGTTATACAGATAACTTGGGGAAAATCTCAGGCTAATTGTTGTACAGGAATATTACTGTTATATGATTATTTCTTTGATTAAAAATTTTGATAGCAAAAATATTACACAACCTCTAAAATCATGTGTTGTGAGCGTTGCAATACATTGATGAAAAATTTTGTTTGAGGTTTGTCCGGAAAACACAAATATTATCTTGTTTGCGGAACTGTTGCTCAGAGTTGTGTGGAAAGAAGGGATGATCTTAAAATATGTTCCCAGACCATATTAAAGGACGGCGGTTAATTGTTAAGTATTTTTTTCTAAAATGTCTTTTTAACATAACTTTTGCTTAGCACTTGTAATATTTTTCTTGAAATTCTGCACATGTTCTGACAGGTGACTTCAGAGGCACTCCTAGGGGTGGAGGCAGAATGAGCGGAACTAGCTTCATTGACCGAGGAGGCAACAGAGGGAGTTATGGAGGCTTTGACGCAGGCGAAACGCCAGACAAGGAGTGGAACCGCGGCGGACGAGGGACCAGCAACTTCAACCGAGGACGTCCGGACAATCGGGAGAGAAGATCTTCCCAATACAGCGAGTCTGGCGACTTCACATCCACATCATCCCCTGGTAAGTCAAACACCGAGGCGTCAATAAGTGACTACTCCTACTATGACTGTTATTTTTCAGCATCACTAGTAATGTCATGTTGAAGGAAGGCAAGAGAAAGAAAGTAAGTTTAGTGTAAAATGTAGAAAACATTTCAACTAGCCACATTACTACTACCAGTTCACTCTTTGAAAGTCAGTGGAACAGTTCATACTACCCTCTGATTGATTTAATTCATACTACCCTTTATTGATTTAATTTCAACTGTTCATATTTTTTCTGTAATAAGAGTGATCAATTTTACAACTATTGAAACATGATCAAACTTGCAGATACAAACTACATATCTAGACTAGACTTGCGTTCAAAATGTTCAAGAAATCACAAACCCAAAGTTACTTAACAAATTATTTTATCTAACAGGGGAAGACCAAAACCTTAAAGAACTTCATCCTAAAAGTCAAACTCCAAAAATTTGTTTTGTTGATAGATGAATTTCCATAGTCTTACAATCAGTATTTCCTAAGGAAGGTATCTGCATCCAACCAAATGTCCAAGAGTTATCCTTCTAGCTTTAGAGAGCTGTTCACAATCAAACAAACTATTAATACCTAAATAATTTTAGCGGAAGCGAGCAATCGACCCAGATTGCAACTTCAGCCTCGCACAGTTAAAGATCCCCTAAACCAACTGGCTAACACGACACAAGCTTCGTCTATATTTGGTGGAGCAAGGCCTCGTGAAGAGAAGATAACCGCAAACAAAGAATAGTCAGTTGTCTTGAAGAGGTAAGTAAAATCCATGAAACTAGGTCTTGGCTTAAAAATTGCTATGTACGACTCTTGGAGGTGTTATATCAAGCTTACAGTCCATCATAATACATGACGAGAATACCCTCCATTTTAGTAATGTTAATCAAATAATTGGTCTTAATTGATGCATAATTGAGCCTAGATATGCAACAGGAATCCAACTCACAGCACAGACAAACTGAGAAAAACAAGTTTAACACTACTTTGTTATTAATTCCTGTCTAATAAAAATGTTTAAGTTTGCACTCATATTATAGTAGTGGGTAGTTAAGAGGCAATAGTATGTATATTTCAGTTTTATTGGTAATTTTGTGGGTTGGATCCTCTATTTCTTTAAGCATTTTGTCAATATTATGTTATGCAACAAATACTTTGTGGATTGTATACGTTTTGAAAAGTCTATTATTGCAGTTATAATAATAAACTGACAATAATATACATACAACCTTTTATTGCTGTATGAATACAATATGAACGTTATTTAAATAATAATACAGTGATAGATAATAATAATAATTTAATACAAATAATCCTACTATCTTATCAGCTGATTAAGAAAAACAATATCCATTCAACTGGATCCATGTTGCCAAATGTGAAAGTAGCTAAACAAAGATATGGGTTGGATCTTATCTTTATAAGCAAATTTTTGCTGTTTTAAAAACTTGTTTTGTTAGGATATTTTTTGCATAATGCATATCAATGTTTATTTCATCCAAAGGCTTACAAAGCCTGTTGCATATCTAGGCTCAGTAGTTGTTCAAATTTTGTAAAATAGGCCTAAAGAAAAATAACTTTTTAGGTGGAAACAATCACACAGTTATTCATTACAAACGCTTTTTTGCGGACAACTGATTAGTGTTGGTGCATTTCTTCCTACACCACAGCAGATAAAATATGCGGTATCAGAAATCTGACTCATACTTTCCCCTATTAGCTTGTCAACAACCCTTATAGTGGGTAAGTAGTGGGAATAACTAAGATATTTTATGGGGAATATCTCAAAAGTTGTAATTACTTTTGAATTATAATATTTACAGCAATGGGGAGTGTACAGTTTTGTTTAGATTAAAAAGGACTTTAACATAAGCTACTAAATTTATATCATTTAAAAAAATGGATTGGTTCAATCATTGTTCAAGCATTTTTTATCAGATTTTCTGTTATTTTATTATGGGTTTATGAGAAAATCATAATTAAAAATAAAAATACATGTTTTGAGATATTATGTATTACCTACATACAAGATGTCATCAAAATCGGACCACAGGTGTAGTCTATCGGGAGAAAGTAAAACTAATGTAAACCACCAGTGAACTACACTCATCGCTCAATTAACCGGGATAAAGTAGGATTGAGGCTTCCCGGATACGTAAAATCACAATCAATCCGCAATAACCTATAAATTGGAAGGAAAGTTTATTAAAATACAAAACAATAGAAAAAATTAACATAATATTGCAAAAAACATACCTGAACGCTGTATTTCATAGGAATCATGATGGTACCACACAATTTTGAGCACAATAACAAATGTAAATTAACACATTCGATGCGGCGGGTCCACCGGTTGACCCCGCGCGTCTCAGCTGAGGAGCGGGGGGTCCACGGGTGGGGGAGCGCGCATTGCATTGTTTGCCGGATCAGTGTGGTTCAGCCATTGTCCGGGGAACGTTGTAATCTTTACCAGCCTGTAGCTTATAATGCAAGCTTTATTCTGGTGTAGGTTGGTAAAAAAATTGCCCGTAAAATCCCGTCTGGCAATGCTTTTGTCCCGTTTTCAGGGATATCTCAATTCGAGCCGTATTACAAAGACTCTGGTTATTGATCCAGGCAGTGCTGCTACCTTTGGGTGTTTCAGTGAACTACGTCCACTTTCGGAGTAACGCAGAACAATCACCACTGCTCTTTTGTGATTCGTCTTACTGAGATATTTCAATACCAATAGCGATCGCTGATTCATTTAGCGCGTCGGGGCTCCGCCCGGGCCTCGCCGCAATTGGCGAGCGCCTGTTTAAAGGTTTTCAGCAGCGAATGTGTTAAAAAATAAATTTATAATAAACTGTTGACAGGGCACGAACTAACGTGGATTACATTTTTTTAAATAGTCTGTTACAGTTTTCTGTTTCTGAACAGAAAAACATCTCTTTTTTATTATATTTCTCATTTTGCACAAGACAATTTTGATACGCGTCTTCTTGATTCTCAAAGTATTTGATCAGCTGTTCCACACTCTCAAGCGTGGCACTGTGCGACACAACTGTCTGCGGTTGACTCACCCTCCTCATCACTTTCACTTTCGTCCTCCACCAACTACATCCCTTGTCTTGTTTACATCTCTTTATCTGTCAGCTGCTCGTACCCTTGATCTTCCGCATCACGATCCAACCACTGCAGAATGTATTCTCCGTCCACTTCCTCTCCTGGCACAACCTTTGTATTTCCTGTGATAATCAGTCACGTCGAATCCAGGAAAGTCATCATCCTCAATAATGTTGGGATTGATTTTTTCCAAGACCGTACAAAAGTCAGTAGTTGGTTTTTTTCCCAAGCAGATTGCACTTCGTATATGTCATCTAAGATCGTGAAATCCTAAGATGTATTCTTTTTTGGAGGAGAGCTAAGCGATAGTTATGTTTCAGTGATGAAATAACACCTTGGTCTATTGGCCGTTACATTTGGAGGCAAATACTTTATGAAAATGTCTCCATCACTAGATCTCAAAACTGTTTCACTAGGGTGGGAAGATGCGTTGTCCAAAAGAACAGCTTTTTCAGGAATGTCCTTAAATTGTTGTTGAGTCAAACCAAGTTTTAAATATCTCACAAGTCATCCAAGCTGACTTTTGATTAAAATAGTCCACCGTGGAATTTATAGCCTATGTGCCATTAAAAGATCTAGGTCTCTTGGCTTTGCCGATCATAAGCAAGATCAATTTATGACTTCCAGCTGTGTTAGCATAAGTCATAATTGTTATTCGCTTTTTTAAGGCTATGCTACGTTCCTTTTTGAATGCTAAGAGTCCGAGTGGGTAGACATTTCCAGTACGGTACAACCCGGACTCGTCTGCATTAAAAATTTGTTCAGGCAACAGTCCCTCTTTCCGTACAAAATTGTGATACTGCAATGAACTGGTTAGCAGCGTAAGATTTCTCATTTCATGGAGCCATCCTGTTTTACATGTCTCTGTTTGAATCGTGTGAACCAACCAGACGATGCATTACGTCACCTTCCATTCTTAGAGCTTTGAAAGAAAAAACTTTTTGTCAAGCAAATTGGTCCTGTCACAAGAGTACCCTGTACACATTGTTGCGAACACCATTCCAGCATGCACTGATCAATTTCTTAAGTGTTGATTTTTTCATTGTCTTCTGATGGGCCATTCCAAAATTTGTGTCGCTTAAGTTTTTATAATGTTACACAATGTGCTATCGCCAACATTGTACTGATTGTCATCTTTTTGAACCGCGTTAAATATTTTGAATAATGTCCAAATTTTACTGGATTGTCAAAACAACACGTTTACGTTTGGTAGCGGTAGCCATCGTTTACTTTATACACTCCACCGATGAACTGTAGTGGTGAGTAAAACAGTGAGAGTTGACTTGTCGATTAGCAGAGGAGATGGGTCCTGACCTGATGGGGGATATGACCTTGAGTATCCAAATTTTTGACCATCAGAATGTGTCATGGTCCCAACAGATTCAGACGATTGAAGTTCTACTGTAGCCAAGAAGATTTACACTACTTATGTAGGCTATATTATGTGTAGCCTGCTATTTGAATAAGAAATTCCAAAATCTTAAAGTCAATGGTCTTATCAAGGCTCACATTCTTTATGTTGTTTCTTTTTCAGGAAGCTGGATTTCGCACTGAAGACAATTACGTTGTTCGGTGCCAAAATTTACTGATGGGCAGAAGATAATGTATTCATAGTTAAGCGTGTAAAAGAGGAACATAATTGATTGTGATATAATTAACATTAACGCCTGTCCAGTCACTTCCTCGATTCTTTTGTTAACTTTCTTATTTTTAGTATCTTGAATTTAGATATAGATTTCTGTATATCACATACGTGTTGTTTTTCTACAGTCAAAAGAAGATGTTTAGTAACGTGGAAACGTTTGAACGTCCATGTCGGTTACTAGCTAAACTAACATAAATATTTTATGTTTATGTTCAACAGAATTGTTTGAAATGTTTGTATTTGACTCACGTTAATTTAAGTATGCTTACCTGTTCCTAGGCTCAAATGTTCAAATAGAATATGTTGAACATTTATATGAATAGTGACCCAGTTTGTTATCTAATAATTCTTATGCTTTAATTTTCCTCTTGAAGCGTGTATCAACTTTGCAATTTTTTTCTTATAAATATTTAGGATTCCCATACAAATTTAAGTTACTAGGGTGTCTGTAAACTCGAGCTTTTTTACGCAATATAAATTGTAAATCAATCAATTAGTTTTTTGAAGTGTGGAAAGCTTTGAAGTAGCAGTGATAATTTAGAGAAGGTTTTGAACTAGGAATATTTTGTTTTGTGTTATTTCATGGTATGAACACCATAAGTACCAGTAAGTGTTTCTTTCTTTATTTTGGAAACATATTTTGATGTTTGGAAACATGTCAATTTCTGAATATATGCAAATTACTTACGCATTCTGTGCCTTCCTATGCACTGGGATTGTGACAGTGCTTTATATGTCAAATGTTTTATTTTATTTTATTTATATATATATATTTTATTCAGTTAATTATTCAGTTATAATTTTATCTTTTTTATGCACCTGAGTATATGCTAAGATTTACAGATACCCCTTGTTTCCTGTACTTAATAATTCCATATTTTCCCCTCAAGTATGAATTGATTTATGTCGAAACCTAAGCAAATTTAACATAGCAAATATCTATTAAGTCTGATTAATAATAATGAGTAAATGTAAAATATTGTAAACAGTTATTCATTTTACTTTATTGTGTTGAATTTATAATAATGAAATGATTTTGTAAATCACCTAATAATATATCCACTTGATAAAGTTAATGATTGTATAGATCGGATAATGTGTGTTAGGTTATATAAAGGGTTAACACATATTGTGAACAGTTTTACTAAAAATTGTTTATAGTTCAAAATAAGTTTTATTGATTTAAAATCACTTTGTCAAGTGGGTACTTTACAGATGTATTAACAAAACTTTTTTTAAATGATTTAATATTGACAATACTGACGTTGAATAGTTTCAAAATTAAGTTAAAAATGTTTATAGCATTCAAATCGACTTAGGGGAAATCCTTGTGAAATGTGTTTAAAATATTTACTTAAATAAAATCTAAGAGTTTAATGTTACTGGAAATGTAAGTTCAAAAGGTTTTGTTAACCGGAAGTATGCTTGAAAGAATTGCTGTTATTTTTAAAATCTCGTTCTTAGCCATAGATACATATTTTTGTTCAGTGTCAAGACATGAGTTATAATTGTAAGTTTAGTTTTTACATTTTGTTCATAATCTAAAATACTTATTTTAGTATGAAATTATGCTTGAAAGATTAATTTAAGATCAAGAAGATTAAGATAAATAAAATCATATGTCATTTTACTAATTTGGTTCATCATAACCATAGATAATTATTTTTGTTCAGCAATCAAAACGAGTTATATAATCAATTGTGAGTTAATTGGTGTTTTGATTGTGGTTTTTGTTTTTTCGTATGTCTAGTGTAGGTGGGTTTTTGGTTGTTTTCATACTTTCAGAGGATTTATAATATATTTAGCCTGTGCTGTTGAGCAGTCCAAAAGAAAAATGTATTGCTTCTACGTAACAAATAAATATTTAAACTTTTTATGACTATCATTTGACGGAACAGTTTGTAAAAAACTCTTTATGGTCCTCTACCCATTTATAGACCTTGATGCATTTTCATAAGAACTGTAATGATTGGGTTTTGTGTTAATAAAATCCGTTAGATACAACATCTGAGAAAGATGATAACCAATGTGTCGCTTTGTCTTAACTCCTGTTTTTCCATTTTTAGTATTAAAACGTGTATGTCCAAGAAACACAAATTAGTTATTGACATGCCCGAACTTAAGTATGGGAAGGACGGGTTTAATCCATGGCACATTGATAAAGGTATGAACCTCTTCGCTTAAAGTTGCTCTTGCCTCTTTAATTTAGAACGCTGCTAATAGACAATAACAACAAAATCTATCAATTAATGATGCTATCTATATCTAACTAAAGGTTGACAGTAGATGGTAACAAGCCCAGGGTTAGAACTTTCTCTTACAGCTACTGACATAGATAAACGCCAAAATAAAAATAAAATTTTAAAAATAAGTATTAATATCTGAATAATTATGATATACTTGAGAGTGTTTGGTAATCTTCAAACCATGTCACCTTTCACCTGGACATTGCACTAACTTAAACAAAACATTAAATCATTATGACTGATCACTGGTATAAGGTGTCGTTTTAACCTGTATTGACCAGCCGAAAATGAAATATGGAGATATTTCTCTAAAATAAACCATACTATGAGTCAAATAACCCATACTATGAGTCCAATAAACCAGTTTCCTCGTATGTGGTTTTGCATTTTGGCTCCTACACTAATAATGTAGTGAACGATATATAACCTTGGGAAAAAAGCAACCTTGAGCCTCGCTTGTTTTTGAAAAAAAAAACCATCCAATGCAGGTCAAAGATTTGAAGGTGAATACTTTCAATTTGGCCATCTAGTTATGGAATATTGGCGCTATGAGTGGAAATAAATATATCTGTGCTTGACAGAGTTCCTCTAGTGCAAACCGATTTCTAGATATTTTTCTTCATGTCCAGAACTAAAAGGTTGTCTCATTGGTGGATTTGTGTGAAACCTGTCACTATACCGCAGTCCATCAATCACATATCTTGTTATGCTAGTCATTACATAAAAAAATCGCCAATGCAAAGCTTATCAGAATCATGAAGTGGCTTACATGATATATCTCAAACAAACTTTGTAGCTTTTGAGTATGCTAAACATTATGATGGGGCGGATGAGTGAATGCTCAGAATCCTTCAAGCCAAGAAGGGGGGGGGGGGTACAATAGATCTAGTAGGTCTCAATGCACTTTTACAGCTGTGTTATTGGTACCTTGCCGTGATCATGACTTCCAGCCAAGAGAGCTGAAACCTTACTGACTTTGAGCCGACAGAGTTTTTTTAGGTCTATGTCTTCTTCAACAAGAGAAAGGATTGCAGCTGTGGCATACACGTGTATAATGTAGTGAAAACTTACTATCGATAGTCACACTATCGATAGTTTTCGATAGTTTTTTAAAAACTATCGATACTATCGATAGTACTATCGATAGTCACTCAAATGGAATTTTAATGCATATAATATTGTATATATCCTGCCTGCATGAGTTTAAACAATGGTTTCTACCTAGTCGAAGATAAAGCTGTATCAGATTATTAATTTTAACAATTTATGAGTGACGCCCTGGAGCCCCCTTTATGTTTTTTTTCCAAAATATTACAACATTTGTATAAAATAACAATAAGTTTTTTTAAGGGTTACAACAATAAAAAAAGAAAAATTCTCTTACTATTTTCTTTCTATTATTCACTACAAAATATTTTTTTACTCACATAGCATAAATAATGTATATATATATTTTTTTTATGACAATCTAAAACCATAGATCAAAGGAAAATACCGTATACCGGTGTCTACTATGTATGCTAAAACCCACGAGGCAAATGTACCCATAAGTCCGGTAGTGAATTAGCAAATGCCCCCGCTTTCAAATGTTTGAGAAGGTAGCCTACTTGTCTACCAAGCTTTTCTACAATGAATTAAAAAAAATAGTCTATAATATTAACTATAGGTATGCATTAACAGACAAACAATGAAATGTAAGAGTACCAGATGATGATTTCTTTACTTAATTTAACGTAAAAAAAACTATCGATAGTCTCATCGATAGTATAATACTATCGACCCACTATCGATATTTTCAAACTATCGATACTATCGATAGTACTATCGATAGTAAGTTTTCACTAGTATAATGAGTAAAAGTGTAATTACGAATTTACATTCCACCGCAGCTGCTGGTTAATGTAAGGTTCAATTATCAATTATTTAAGATGAAGACACCACCCTTTGAGTGTAGAATAGTATGAGATGATCTGTGTAGCTGTGTTAGTGTTACTGACTAAGATCAGCTGGTTCATCAGTCAGAACCATTAAAGTCCAATGATCAGGGACAGCTGGATCCGGTTTCGATCAATAAAAAAACTAACTGCCTTTTCTCAGGACCAAACAGGCGACCTTCAGATTGTTAGATGAGCACTATAACCACTTAGCTAGTTTGGTTGGATTTTTTTATTTGAGTGAGGTTGGTTGTAGGCTGTGGTTCAAGGTTGGTGGGGCAGGTTGTTGGGGTTTATTCAATCATGAGGTGGGGGAACTTTGTGTCATCTGGTATAGTGAATGTGTTAGTAAAGAGAAAAGGCAAACAAAAAAGATTGAACCTAAGCCATAAAAGTGGGGAGATGATATACCTGTCTTGATCTTATCAACTACATGAGCTCTGAGAGCCAACAGAATTCAATTTAAAGGAAGAGTTGCGACTCAAATCAAGTTGATCCTAGAGAAGAGTATCTAGAGGACTTACCCTACAGTTTTAGGCAATTGAAAACCCTTTGACAATGGTATCCATGCAATTTGATGATCAGAGCTTCTTGTATTATGATCGAGTTTTCATAGAATCATCTTGGACAGTGGGTTCACTTTCTCTGACCAGGCGTCTTGTCTTACATAATCTTTACATGCCTTTATTGCCATTGTCAGGATAAGGGTTCGGTATTGGTTCAGAAATTTATTTCTATTTAACTGTACCTGGTTCCCTCAAAGCCTATATGGAAACAGGAAAGGATTATCTTACGAGTTTCCTTGCAAGGTACATCTCTAATTCCTAGTTGATATACCATTAGTCTTTAACACCTGCCAGCAGGGACGTAACTGGGGGGGGGGCACGTGGGGCGTGAGCCTAGTTACGTCCCTGCCTGCCAGGCCTTAAAGATTTGGTGGTTTCTTTGTGTTTCCGCCTTCACACTTTCAGTATCTCTCTTGTATTTTTTTCTTACAAATGGAGTTATATTGTGCTTGCCACCATTTCATGGGAGTTCCAGGAATATGAGGTTCCTCTGCCTGGAATCAGGTTTAGGCATCATTAAATCTTAACTAGGAATTATATGATCTGTTGCTGTTAACCCCTAGGCAACTAATGTTCTAAAAGAGAATGCAAAAGAGGGGAAGGGGGTCAGGATGGTGGATGAAGATCAATTGTTAGGCAGATGAAGATAAACTGACCATGTGTTATTATGTGGAAGTGGAAGGAACATAGATCGATAAAAAATGCTTGACCCTGACCCTGACAAAGTTTAAATATTTATTCATATCTTAGATTTAGATTATTAGTCCAAAATAGATTATTTATATTTTGATGCCTTTTATTTTCGGTAACATGGGTACTTTCACATTATCATATGCACGATGCATAACCAAAATGAGTATCGAAAAGATTTTTTGACTTAGAAAGAGGACATACTATGTTGATATTGTATAAACTCTAACCGTTCCAAAATACAAGCTTTATAGTAGAATTGGTTTGAAATGAAAAATACGTGTTGATATCGATTACAATGAAGTAGAATTGTGATATTACATATTTATTGGTGATATAACTAAAAACAATATATTGTAAAAATCTTATAACAATAATTTCAGAATGTGAATAAAAACAACTTTTACTTCAAAGCTTCATGATACAAAACCAGAACAGCGCTTAAGTAGCAATAGGAGAAAAAAAACAGCAAAAAAGGTTAATCATCTGTTTGTTTATCTTTATCTGTCAAGTGTCAACGAACGAACGAACAAATTGAATTGACTTAACCTCTACGATTAAGTGATTTGACTCTCAGGATTACATTGCTGTCACCTCGCCTAGTTTTATTGCAATGCTAGAGGACGACAGCAGACAAATTTGTTTAATATCTTAATTTCCATAAAATATTGAATTGTTCGTTGCTAACTGAGGTTGGCTAGTAGTTAATCTTGGTTTGAATCCTTTAGGCTAGGCCTATGTTTACAATGTCATCTTTCATTCTTAGGAATAAAGTTACCGGTACTGTTTGGAAAACTAAGGTAAGTTAAGCATATTAAGGTCTTATACATATTAGTATTAGGCATAGCATTAACTAATAATAATAATTAGGACGTAGTTTGATGATTTCTTGAAACCACAGAGGAGTAGCCCTAACCTAGGCCTATATTAGTTTATGGAATTGCCATTACCTTTAGTCGTTTGTCTTTGCTATTGAGCCTATCCTCATTATGCCATAACTTAACATACATTTAGTACTCTCATTTGACACTTTTAGGGTCATTTCAGGCATCTTTAATAACTCGTTGACTCATCAGTTCGTTACAAAAGAAATATGTTAGCTAGGTAACGTACTCCAATACATTTGCCTAACATAACTTTTTGGGCAACGGAGCCTAAATATTATAAGTTAATTAAATCAGTAAAAATTCAATTGTAATTATTTCTTATACCTAACTAACTATCTATTGATCTTTATTCTTTAGGCAATACAGCATCAGTGCTTCAGTTCTACTGGCCTTAAAAGAGCACAACTTAATTTACTGAAAACAGAAGCGTTTATCAATGGAAAATGGGTTTCGGCCAAAAGTGGGAAAACCTTTCAAGTAACAAATCCTGCAACGGGACAAGTGATTGCAAGCGTGCCAGATATGGACGTGACAGACACCAAAGTGGCCATTGAAGCAGCGAATGAAGCATTCAAAACATGGGGAAAGACCACTGCAAAGGTAGGTATAAGTTACCTACTGATAGATAAGTAGGGCCGTAATTTGGACACATGTTTTTTTCTGTGATTACAGCACCGTGATCACCTTTGTAATAAGAATGATAGCCTTCTATTTAGCCTACTTGACCAAAGGCTTTAATTCATTAAAGAATAACACATTGGTAACATACTAGTAGTTGTGTACAAACTGTTAACAAGTAAACAAAATAATTAACATGTGATCAACTCGTCATTATTGGTGGTTTTATAGGCCTATAAAACAAATTTAAGAAAGAAAGAACATGGTATAAAATATTATAAAGTATCCCACTACTTTGGAAACTTTGTGATAATTTCTGTGATCATGTTCTTTTAAACAACCTTTTAAGAGAACCAATGGAACCGTGTTAATGAGAATGGACACTGAACTATTGGCTATTGGTAATTATTTCAAATTTCCCAGTTCCATACAAAATTTATGTGCAATTCACAAGTCAATAAACTTCATCTACAATCCTGATTTTCTTGGTATCCTGGTTGGTTGGACATCTTTGTCATTTTAGAACGTGACATTGTCACAAAGCTTTTTAATTTAGTCCCTAATACATTTGAACCTTTTCTCCCCAACAAGTGGTTCGGATTAGGATTAGCCAGATGTTTGGATTAGAGGGGTTCATGCTAGTAGGACTCTGGTTTCGTGACAAGAGCGTAAAATTGCACTTGCAAAATCAGCAATTTTCTATAAAAATTTTTTTACATCTTGCAAATGTACAGGGTCAATCTACGATGAATGTGAATTGATTAGGGTCTCTATTAAACTCCTATCGCAGTTCATATTCTCTACAATTTTACCTGGTTTCTACCTCTATTTGACAATTAGTCTCGCCATTACCGAATATGAGAGGGAAAATCTAGATGCTCCTGCCTAGTATGAATCAAATCCTATGTTAAAATGTCTGTGAGAAGGGCGTCAACCCTTATGAAGGTTTGTTATTAGTTGAGAGATATACATGCTAGAAAGTGTTTGGACCAAAATCCCCTTCTATGACCTCAACCTCAAATGAGACTGATGAAAGACTAGTCGGCATACACCATGTGTTCACAACATGGTGCAAATACTTACTACCCCCTCTGAACTCCTCCACCCCTTGAGTATTTTTTTACGTCAAAATACTCTACTTGACTCATGCCATTCACAGTTGGTTGATTTTAAGAGCAGTTGACGTCTTAGACCAAAAATCAAATCACAGAACCCAGTTAATATTCGGGAGTGAGATGTTATTTCACACCAATTTCGGCTAACAAGACTAATTGTCACATGGGGGGGGGGAGGGATTGGCTAGAAAGTAGTGAATAGAGTAAGGAACATGGTGCTACTCTCAGATTTTATCTAGCGTTCTGGATTGCGAGGGGAGTAATCAATAAAAAAAACCCCGCCGCAGCAAACCTGCTGTCTAAGCGAATTTCCATTTACCTGAATAGATTTTCAATTAAATAACATTAGGTTTAATGAGCACCGAGGTTTGCTGCTACAGGGAAACTAAAAAAAAGTGTTTTTAGTAAAATATTAATAGCTTAGTATAAAATAAATAAATTTGTCAAGTTTGATCAAAATATATCCGGACATAAACAAGCAAACCAACATTTTACAATATACTCCATAAGAATAACATGGGAATAAAAAATTACAATTTTTAAAATTTTCTCCGTTACTAATAACCGTACAACAACTCTTTGATATACTGAATTATTTTTTTAAGCTCTTTAAAAAGGTCAGAAAGAATTTGGGAAATTTTTTGTTCTAAGTTTTTCTTTTCCTTGTCCTCTCCTTGTTTCAAATTGGTTTTTCTCATTTTCGATGGTCAATACAATTTCAATGTACAATTTTCGATGCACATTTGGAGAAATATAGCTCTGGATGAATAAAAATATACATAGAAAAACAACAAATCTATGCCACACAAGATACCTTTACCCAAGAAGGATAACAAATTTACAAAATTTACGTTACTAATTATATTACAGTTTACTGTTCATACCTCTTTTTTTTTTAATTGTCATTTTAGCGAATTTAGGGAATAAGCTATTACCGTAGTACTCATGGTAAGAGCTGGACCCGGGACCGATTTACTTTTTTGTTTTGAGGTCCCTAGAGGCCAAAAACACAAACCGTTCAAATTCGTATATATATGTGTGTCCATTAGTACAATAACTCAGGCAAAAATGATCTGATTTTGATGAAATTTGGTATAAACCTTTAAACGTACATTTATTTGAACAAGTTCGCGAACTAGCATAATCTGACCTTGGAAACAGGGGTTTATGGGGGGTTTTATGGGGTAAAAATGGGGTTTTCCCATTTTTGACCGGTCCAAAAAACATAACATTTTGCAATTTCTTTCCAAACCATTTTGTAGAACTTAAAAAAAAGAAATAATTTAGTATATTGAAGTGTTGTTATGCGTCTAATTGCTACGGAGAAAATTTAAAAACAATTGTAAATTTAAAATTACATGTTATTCTTATGGAGAATAAGTAAACTGCTGTTGTTTGCTTGTTTATGAGCATATTTTGATCACATTTGGAAAATGCATTTATTTGATATTAAACTATTAAAATTTTACAAAAAAAACCTCTTTAACCCTCCCTGTTGCAGCAAACCTACAGTACGGTACTCTTTAAACTAATGCTATTGAAATAGGGAATAAATGTGAGACATTTTAGTGTAAATCCATTAAGCAAATGGAAATTTGCTTAGTCTGCAGGTTTGCTGGGGCGGGGTTTTTTTTAACCTTTTGGATTGTCATTTTATTAACTTATAGTTTATTTAGTTAGGGAATACTAGACTCAATCCTGTTGCCTCTTTGGTGTTGTGAACTTTGTTCTTTCTGTAAATACATTGAGAGGAAGACTTTCCTTTATCACATTTCACTGTTGGCTGATAACCAAAAATCCATTGATCCACATAGGTTTATCTTCAAGTGGATGTCGTTTTTATAATTATTTGATCCAGAAGTAAATCACCTACATTATCTCAAATTAAAAGATTGCATAAGTTGGTTGAAACTCTTAGTTTAACTATTTATTCAGATAAAAAAATATAAAAAATAGGTCAACTACCACTTTTATAATTTTTGATGTGATAGATTTTATTGACTTTCATTTTTTTAATTGTAACTTCATAATCTTGTGATTAATTTGGTCAGTAAATTTTAATGAAGTAAATTGTTATCAATTCGTAATTTTTGAACTTGTCATGTGTTTTTTGCATGAATTAAAATATATTTTCTGTAAGAAATGTGCGGGCCAAACTTTTAACATATTTACATTCAGAATGGTCAAAATTAAATAGGCCTCTATTTAGAAAAACTTTTCATTTCTTAATTATTTAATTTAGTAAAACAAACTAGTTTTGTTATTGAAATACTTTGATTTTTTATTGCGAGCAGATAAATAGGATAGGACTGAAATTAAGTTGTAAAAAGTGACCACAAATAAATTTTATTTTTATTTTTGCAAATACATGATCATAATATTTTAATAAAGATAAAACAAAAATTGTAAAGCCAATCAACAGATGAAAGTTTTCCCCACCACTACACCATAATTAACAATAATAACCACCATTTCATAACTGCATTTATAATAGTAAATTTTTTAATAATACATTTTATCTAACAAGTGACGTTAGCCTAATAGGCTGGTTTTGATAGGTATTATTTGTTTTATGACGAGAAAAATCTCAAAAACGTTACTTGGTGGCACTCCTGTTAATCCCACTTAAATTTCTAGGGATTAATAGGCCCTAATGTGCCTTCCTTGAGAGTTTAGTTGATTACAATTAATCCAAAGTTGTTTTTCTGTTTTGATAAGACCAAAATTAAATATCCAACAGTCTGGTTCTATGTACTTGTAACGTAACCATTTGTGTTTTTTACTTAAAAATGAACTATTTAACCAACTATGTGCCCGACCCTTCGAGTCCCAAAGATGACTCCTGTTGTGACCTTTTGAATGTTTATCATGTTTTCCCTTGACTTACAATAATAAAAATACATTTTCTTATGAAACAGTGAAGATACCCAGATCGTAAAGATAAGTGAAACACGGCAAAATGCGTGATAAAAGGTAGGCCCGTATTTAGAATCTACGAGGCCCCAGCAGCTCATACCAGGAAGGCCTCTCTATTCTCGATTCTGTGGTGGTTGTATCTAAGAGGGTTTAGAAAAACTAGTCATATTTCTTCAAATCGATGAACTCGGCCCTCTGTTTTCAATGATCGGATCAGTGAATGGACCCAGGAGACTAGCTAATATAGTCTATTTTATTGTTTTTTAATACAAGGGGGCTGCGGGCCAGATCTTTTTACTTCGGGTCGGGTCAAAAATGTGGACCTTGAAATCGTCCTCAGTCACAACTATATTCGGGACATATTTTGAGACATCTTCAACGTCTTGTAAAGTTAATACAAAATCCTAAACATCTTCTGAATTTGCGGAGTCATCATCTTTGTCTTCCGTGATCACAGTGAAATCATGAACGCCTCCTGTGGTCACAGAGAATTTGTGAACATATATTGCGGTCGCAAAGACTTCATCATCATCTCTCGCGATCGTTGCAAAATCATGATTTTCGATCAGGCAATATGTGCAGATGCTTTCGGCCATTCTGAGAATAAAAGCTCGGAACAAAAATGGAACCCATTAACAGATTATCAGTGAAATTAATTTTTCCGGAGAAAATAGTTCTTTTGAGACGCCAAGTGAGGCGTCACAGGCCGAGTCCCTTGATAACCACCGTCTCCGCTGTTAGGGAAATATAACCCTCATCAAAAATGGAATTTGTAAAGAATCCACCCATCCCATCAACTTTCACCTGAGCTGTCGTAATATTAATTTTTGGTAGGTCTCTCCCATCAAGCTTTGGTAGGTGAAGGCACACCAGAAAAGTTTCTAACCTCAATCTACACTGATGTCTCTCTGATTAAGGCCCAGTAACAGTCGAGGTAGTAGTTCTGATATTGTCTCTAGGCTGCTGCTCAGGCACAGTTTTCAGCTATTTTGTTGCAGTGAATAGTTGTAAATGAATGGGTTTTTTATGTCCCTCATATATGGTTGATTTTTGCCTTTTTCATAGTTGCCTTTGTGCTTAAAGATAGAAACTATGAAAGATTATGAATTTAATATAATGTTAAAACGGAATTATGTCCAATTTTCATATTAAATCCAAAATTTAGACTGTTATCAATTCACTTTTGAATTTGTTGTTTGTGGGCTCATAAACTATTACCATCTATTAAGAGTCCTTGGAGTCTAGACGTTCTAACTCGTAAAACAGTTAAAAACTACAAAGAACATTTTGAAAATGACAGTTTACTAGATATTTAAATTATAATAATTTTAGTGTATGAAAAAGATTTTGAGATGGTAAATAACTTGTCAGCGGCTGTTTGAAAGTAACGAAGTTAACATTGCTCTTATGGCGGGCAAATCTAAGATGGCTGTTAGCTTCCATAGACTCCCTTGGAGAACAATTCAAAACCACAAAGAACATTTATAATCTCACACTTTACTAGGTATTTCAATTATAATCACTTTGGTGTTTGAAAAGGACGATGTATAACCATTCAGCAGCTGGTTGAAACTAACTAGATGGTCGCTAGCCTCAAAGGACTCTTAACTCTGTTGTATACAAATAGACAGACATTATCTTTAGTTTCCAGAATTCAGGCATTTCTAAAGTAAATGCTTAGACAAAGGCTAGTAAAACACAGTTTTTGTGGACTCTGGTTTTTGATGACTAAATTTGTTACAGGAAAGGTCAGTTTTGCTACGCAAGTGGTACGATGCGATGGTCGCCCACGCCAACGACTTGGCTGCATTAGTTACCGCAGAAGCTGGGAAGCCTTTACCAGAAGCTCTTGGAGAGGTCAACTACGGTAATTCCTTTGTCGAGTGGTTTTCTGAAGAAGCAAGACGTGTCAATGTAAGTATGAATTAAGTCGAAGCCTCCTTGTATGATCTGATTCGCTCGATGTTCGCCAGACGAGTTCCAACTTGTTTAAGTCTGTAGAGTTTTGACATTAGGGAGATGAATGTGCTTATGTTAAATTGTATCATACTGTAATCATGAGTTGCTGCAATCCATTCGTAACATCTGCCTGTATTTACGATAGCTTAATGACACAGTTCTTACCTGGAAAAATCGTGATTGTATAGTCTACCTTACCTGTGGAATCATAACACTATAGTCTGTATGATTGAAGCTGTCTCTTGACCCTCCGTCTGCCAGGGATTGGCCTGGGCCTTTAACCCAAACTCTGCGACACCCTAGCGTATGTTTTACTAAATCACCTTTTAGTTTTCCCTCTAGCTCCAGTAACTGTATGCCCAAATCATAATTTCTTAACTGTTACAAAAAGTTTGATGGAATGAAAAAAAAACATAAACCAAGGAAAATCCTTTTTAACAACTCATATACATTTAGTCATTTAGCAGATGTTCATTTAGTCAAACATTAAAAAAAACAATATACTGTACATGCAACCTTGAACTACTGTCACATCTCATTGCCCAGTTAAAATGCTTTGGGTTTATTTATGATTGCATATTATATGCATATTATATCAATACATTTAGTTGCTATGTCATGCATGATAAATGTAAAATGTAAATTTGTATCAATTAGTATTCTCTACTAAACAATGTTAAACAATAAAAAGCTTGGATATTGATTAATATAAGGCTCATTTGGTGACAGGAATAACTATAAAGTTACAGCAGAAATGTCGAGGGTTCATGTCTTGCCAACACAAAATATTTTCTAGCAGTGTTGATTTTTTTTTACTGAACTGGCTTATCGGTGTTGTTTCATATGCTCCACACACAAATATGTTGTTTCATATGCTCCACACACAAATATGCTTTGCTTGTGGATGGGCAAAGGCAAAATTAAAAGATACCACCAACGTTAAAAAAAAATTTTTGATCAAGCATCTAATCACTCATCAAAAAATAACATATTTCATCACTAGGGTGTAAAGTGACTCTTTTCGACTGCTCAAGTCTAACGGCCAAGGTTGAAGAATGAGCGATGGTTGAAAAAGACATTTTTGCCCTTTTGATGAACTATATTTTTCATCAGATTGCACCATTATTTAAACAAACTAAGTTACAAAACGAAAATACTTTTCATGTAAAGATAAGTGCCCAAAATTACTTACATCTTGTTTTCAATTTTACTATCATGAACAAGCAGCTGGTATTGAATTGGTTTTTCTATTAACATTGTATTTATGTCCATTATACTTTCAATAGACATTGATATGTTAAACAATTGATTTATCAATAGTTTTCTTGAATTTCTTAGGCTTTGATAGCTTAATTCCCGTGTCATCCATGTTCTTACATTAAACGTAAACAATTGTGAATCCAGTTGAAAACAATGCATTAAACTAAAATCTATTGAAAATGATCGGTACAACCAATTGCTTACAATCGAATTCGACAAGTTAGCAAAATGTACTGACGTCATCTCTAGATGATTTTTATTCCCTTGAGAGTAAAAGATCTACTTTTAGAGCAGCAAAGCATGCATTGGAAACATCTTTTTTCATGTGTAGACCTAGAGTGTAACATGTGAACACCTCTTAGTCTAAGTGGGCCTTCAGAATACTTTCAAATTCTGAGAAACTTGTAAATTAATATTTCATAAAGATTTAACGTGTAATGCTTATGTTACAGGGCGACATTATCCAGAGTCCACAGAGGAGTAAGGAAATGATGATGATTAAACAGCCAATCGGAGTAGCTGCTCTTATTACTCCAGTATGTACTAATTAGTCTTAAGTTCTTTATTCCAAAATTACCAAATCACATTATATTGGAGTCAAGTTTACAATGAAATGTACAAAAGATAAAATATAAAAAACTCTACTAACTAAAACAATTTGACCTCTAGTAAATCTAACAGAACAGAAATCACTGACTACATATCAGCGGAAAGTTCGCTGACTCTGTAGCAAGCTTTTTCAACCAAAATGTTTTTAAGTTTTCTCCTAAACCTGAGCAGATCAGTCTCCAGCTTTAGATGTTGAGAAAGTTTGTTAAAAAGTTTAATTCCATTGTACATTTAACGTCGTTTTTAGTGTACATTAAACAGTGTTGTGATTGTATGTATTGTTTGTGTTTTACTTACCCTCTATTTTGTTGCGTACACAACTCGCCTGAGAAGGTGTTGACGGTATTCGCATGAAATCCCGGACTCGGCAAGCCTTGAATATATCATGATAGTACCGTAAACTCCTACCTCTCGGTCTTATGGCATAGTATACTGTAGAAAAAAAGTATATAAATATGCAATTTTTCAGTGGAATTTCCCTCAAGCCATGATCACCCGCAAGGCTGGGGCTGCTTTGGCTGCTGGATGTACTTGTGTCATCAAACCTGCGGAGGACACTCCGTTTACTGCTCTTGCATTAGCGGAGTTGGCGCAGCAAGTAGGTAAGAAGAAGAAAACTGACACCTGAGTATGTTGTCTCTAAAATAATGTGTACCTCAAGTCAGCAAAACTGGAGATAACTGTTGTAAGATATTTAAGAAATCCTTCTCCATTAACCTCAGGCTAACTTTTATAAACAAATGGTGTAGCACTAAAATAACTAAATCTATGCATTACAAACAGGGGTTGGTTAATGGTTAGTTGTTGAAAATGTCCAACATAATGTCCCAATAAACTAACTCTTTATTACCTATTTAAATCTAACCTAACTAGTGTTTACAAAACTCCATCCAAGTATTCTGATAGGCTAATGGAAACGTCCTGCAGGCAGCTCAGCTGCAACTAAAATGTGCCAAAATATTATCATGATGGGTTAGCCTCTGGATCAAGATACAGCAAGATCAAAAAGGCTTAGATTACCTGTTGCGTCAATTGATCCTGTTGTGTTTATAAATAACAACAGCTGTTTTGTGCTGCCACATCTTCAGGTTATGAACGTTTAACACTATTCTCTTTAATGTGTGAGGTCATCAGCATTTATATACAGTGTTTAAAAAAAAAAAAAACTTGCTTCTTTATTTATGTAAAAACTGCAATAGGTTGCAATAGTTTGCAGGAATCGTATATTGGCGTAGAGGCCAGAAGTTTTGTGAATTCAACATTAAGTTCCCATTCACCCCCTTTCTCCCCCTACCTATATAAGAAAAAAAATTTAAATAGCAAGGCATAAAAAAAAGAAAAAGAATAGTGCAAATTAGGGGTTTTTACATCAATCCTAACAAAAGTTATGGCAGTTCAAAATATTATCCTCCCCCCCTTTAAAGATTAATCAGATCTAATTAATGGCCCCTTTATTCGATTCTACACCTTAAACGCTTACCTCTTTTACTCTAAACCCTTTTAAACAGAACTTCCCATTACAAACCTTACAAACTACCCAGAAAAAGGGCCTAACCTTTAAACAGAGTAACTAGTTATCACCAACCACAGGTGGTGTATTTACTGAACTTGACACCTACTGAGTGCAAGGCATTCAGTGTTTACAAAACACCTCCAGCTCGCTTCACAGCTTGCAAGGCCTGACCATAAGTCATCAACCCAGCTTGCCTAGCCTACCCTCCATTACGACCTCATAACTACTTTCATATTTTGACATGTTAATTACTCATATTAAAAAAAAGGTTTTATGTCTGAAATTATTTATTTTCAAAGTTTGGCACAGAAGTGTAGAGACACCTCATAGCATTTACGAGGCTATTCAGAAACCGAGGAATGTAAGCGTCTGACGCCGATAGGCCACATCAATTGCACACTATTCCTCGGTGATTCTCTAGCTGTCACAGCGGAAAAGTGTCAATTCCCTGCCCATTGTAGCAATATTTAATTTATTCAAGATGAAAATTTGCGCTGCAATTGGAAATCCCTCTAATTGTGCGGTCTACGGTTTTGTAATAAATACTAAGCCCAAAAATTAATTAGAAAGGCTCAGTGAACAATGTTTTCCTCATAAAGATAGTTAAAAAAATGTTATGTCTTTTGTAGTGATTCGTTACATAATAAGTAATAAAAAGCCATTACAGTTCTTAAGCAATCAAAATTGTTTTAACTCTATTTTATTCCCAAAGGTATTCCTGACGGTGTGATAAACGTGGTTACAAGTGATCGCAGCAATGCTCCAGGCATCGGAAATGAACTCTGCACAAGTCCGCATGTCGCTGGCCTCTCATTTACTGGTGAATATATTCATATACTTATGGTAGTATTTAACATATCTCACATTAATACTTTACTTTTAATACTTTTCAATGAAATGGCGACCATACAAAGTAGGTATTTTAAGCCAATTATGAAAGGAGATGATTGTAGTATGAGTGGCGCGATCTTGTAGTCTTGTAAGTGACTGGAAGACCAACTTATTCCTTAGACACGGCGGTAAATTATAGCCCATACAACTAATGACAACTAAGGGACCTACAGTTTATAGTGGCTCCCGAACCACATTTTTGCCTTGGTATATACGAATTGGTCTAATTTTCTGGATAGTACTGCAGATAGTCGTAGTACTCACTCGTGCAGACGATAATCCACACCAGGGAGTATCGCATCCACAGTGCATGCCTATAAATATCCACAATTCGTAACCTCCTAGTAGCTGGATTACAGGACAACGCCACCCATCAATATTAAACCTTGTATTGACTGTTAAAACAAACAAGAAACTAAATTGTACTATTTTTATTTATCCTTCTGGTAACATGAGTTCTTCATAATCCAATCGACTAAAGGTGGCAATTTAACTTTTTGTCACAAAGTTTAATGCAATCAACACATTGTAAACCTTTTGACCATTCTAAAAAAAATCCTGAAATGAAGAAAAACGTTTCTTTCTTCTTAACAATTGTTGAAGTTATTGCTTATGAATAATGACAGTACCATTCACTATGAACATGTAAAGAATGTTATCACCAAGTGAAAATTTAACTTGCTTAGTCAGCCTTCACATATTAATAAAGTTTGTTCTCTTAACTTGTAGGTTCAACAGAAGTTGGCAAACTCTTGTACAAGCAGTGTGCATCCGGAGTAAAGAGAGTCGGTTTGGAGCTCGGAGGCAATGCTCCCTTCATTGTCTTTGAATCAGCTGATTTAGACAAAGCTGTAGAAGGTGCTATTGCGTCAAAATTCAGAAATTGTGGCCAGGTAAAATATTTAAATAGTTATGTTTTTGATATAAATCCAATATATAATTTTTTTAATTGTACAAAATGTGTTCAACTGTAATGTAGTACAAGGGTTCAAATACGAGGGTTGTAAATTAAGTTCCGTAAATTAAGTTCTCCATCAATCTCTTTTTGAGGCCAGACAAGTTTGTTAATCTAACACCAGTGCCGTTTTTGCACATTATAACCAGATAAAATGTCAGATTAGGGTGGGAACTGGCTAGAATAGTAGTGGATGAAGTAACCAAGTATGGAACTAGTTTGCCTGGCTGTGAAAAAAGCTCTTTAATTTACGAACAGTCCTTGTACTTACACTGGAATGCGGAGATAGATGGTCAACACTGATTAGGTTAATTCCATGGTCCGTAACAAACAGGGAGCAACGAGATAAAAAGTTAGGTCTGTACTGTAACAGTATTATTCAACAACTGCAGCAATAACCACCTGAATGACGGCCATTTTATCACTAGCGATCCTCGCAAAGATTTACCTCACAAAAATCCACAAGTACAGTCCCTTTTATCTGGACTCCTCGCGGCCGAGCTCAGTCCAGATAATGGTTTTACCGGTTAAACCGATGTTCCCTAAAACTCTTTAAATGAGGAAGTCTGATGCATGGTATATAAGCCAATAATGATTATATGATAAAGATCCTGAGCCTATTCTCTTGGCGGTGGGAAAAAGAAAAAGGTGCGTGATGCACAGAGTCATTGAGTGAAGCTTAAACGGCAGCAAGTCGAACACATTCTATACAAAAAAAAATTTAACCATTGAATATGAGTCTAGACATTCGTCGGTGGAAAGTTTTCACGGCTCATTAAGAAACAAACAACCATTACTATGTTATTTACTTTTTAACTGGTTATTAACGTACGTGATTAGTGTAGAAACGCCAACCGTGAAATCAGCTGAATTCACTGTTGTCATTTCTACACCAACCACATCCGCGAAACTGGTATATTAACAACCAGTAAACAAATAAAATAACCTTAAAAAAGCACAACAAAACCTAAATGATATTTTAATAAGGTACATCTAAAAAGTTAATCTTTGTGTTGTTATAAGTTGATTATGGTGGTAGGAAAAATCTTGTGTGTATTACGAGTACAAACAGTCATTGCTGCTCTCAAATGTATCACTGCACTCAGCTAAATCTTCGTATAGCCATCTACAGTTCTCAAGCTCCAATGATGTACTGTGTGCCCCTAATACACAAGTACCTATTTTAGAAGCACATTAATGAAAATGTGATAAAAATTTAGATGTTTTTTGAACGTGTATCATCTAATGGTGTATTTTTCATCCAAGTGTATTTCTATTCAAACTTAACACATTCGCTGCTGAAAACCTTTAAACAGGCGCTCGCCAATTGCGGCGAGGCCCGGGCGGAGCCCCGACGCGCTAACTGAATCAGCGATCGCTATTGGTATTGAAATATCTGAGTAAGACGAATCACAAAAGAGCAGTGGTGATTGTTCTGCGTTACTCCGAAAGTGGACGTAGTTCACTGAAACACCCAAAGGTAGCAGCACAGCCTGGATCAATAACCAGAGTCTTTGTAATACGGCTCGAACTGAGAAAATCCCCGAAAACGGGACAAAAGCATTGCCAGACGGGATTTTACGGGAAATCTTTGTACCAACCTACACCAGAATAAAGCTCGCATTATAAGCTACAGGCTGGTAAAGATTACAAAGTTCCCCCGACAATGGCTGAACCACACTGATCCGGCAAACAATGCAATGCCCGCTCCCCCACCGGTGGACCCCCCGCTCCTCAGCTGAGACGCGCGGGGTCCACCGGTGGACCCGCCGCATCGAATGAGTTAAAGAATAATTTGTTGATTTTCTGTGATTGCAGACTTGTGTTAGCGCCAACAGATTCCTGATTCAAGATAAAGTCTTTGATGCATTTGTTCAAAAACTAAAAGACAAAATGGCCACTCTTAAATTAGGAGACGGAACTAAGCCAGACGTAAACCAGGGTCCATTGATAAACATGAAACAAGTTGAAAAGGTAAGTGTCTCCGTTTAACCCTCGTTGCGTCAATATAATCTTTACAGGATCTTAAGAGTACTAATTGTTTGAGGATACCAAGGTTGGAAATAGGTTTTGAGGCATAAAGTTGTCATGAATAAATTTACTAAATAGCAAAAAGGGTAAGAGATATGTTTATTGTCTACCCATATACATATTGAAAAAGAATACAGCAATCCTTGACCTCTGCGTCATCCATCTTTAATTGAGCCTAAAAGTAGTTTTGCTGCATCCTAGATGTACGTTAACAAGTCTTCTCAAGCAAGTGATTTAAAAGGCAGAAAACTAAAGAGCATGGTATGTGAGAGTAAAAATTGATTGGGAGCACTAACAAAGAAGTTTATTATATGGTTACGACAAGTAATATTTTTTTAGAAAAAGATTTTAACATAATATTGATATACTAAATGACACATAACTACACTGCGAGCATTATGATAAACAGTTACAGTACGGTCCTCTAAGAATCTATAGATTAAGAAAATAATTGTCTATTTATTTATCACCTACTCAATCTTGATCGTTCATAACATGTTGTTGATTATAAATGTTTGTATGGACTAGAGAATACTTAATTTTTCAAGTATGTTTTTAGTCAGGAATATTATACAGATATCAGATGTTTACATACCAACAAATTAACAGAATTACTTTTTTTCAGGTGGAAAGTATTGTTAAAGACGCAGTGGATAAAGGAGCGACAGTGGTCTATGGGGGTAAACCTGCGTCCAACGTCGGTCCTCAATTTTACGAACCTACCTTGTTGACCAATATCAAACCAAACATGGTTTGCTATACTGAAGAAATATTTGGACCCATTGCTGTCTGCATCAAGTAAGTTAATTTTAATAGCGGTAAAAATAATTGAGCCATATGGAGTTGTCACAGTAGGAGTAAACAATTGTCAATTTGGTACATTCGGGACTTTGGCAGTGCTGGATTATCGAAAATGCTAGATTAGTGGACACGGATTAGTGGATATGGAAATTGCTGATTTGTAAGGATAATAAAGTCCGGCTAATCCGAGCAATTTGGTAATCCAAACGTCTGGCCCTTGTTTTTCTTTCTTTTATTGTGGGGGGAGGCTGGAGTAATTGTACTCCTTGTTACTTCAGTTTTTTGACCTATTTTAGCACCCCTTAACTCAGTCTGACAGTCCTAGGATTTTGGCATAGCCTAGGAGCTTTTTCAAAAGCTAGAAGCCCGATTCCCTCATCTCTTCAGGTTCCAGTTGCGGACTTCCCAGAAATGTCAACCTTTTTTGGGCCAAATCCTGACAGTCCAAAGACAAGTGTTCAAAGGTTTCCACCTCGTTTTCACAGAACCTGCATTGGTCTGTCTGTGACCTCCACATAATTCTAAGGTGTTTCCAAATAGGTCCGCGCCCAGTTAGCATCCCTACTAGTAGTCTGATATCCCCTTTTTTAGGCTCAGTAAGCCTTTCCAATCTTTCATTGAAGGGCTTTTGAAGTCCTTAGTCCTGCGTTAGTCCTCCAGGCCTGCCTTCCGGACCTTTACCCAGTCTCAGACTTTGGATACTTCACAACTAATCAAGGTACCACAGTAGGGTTCTGGCCCTGTAGCTGTTCTTCTGCACCCTCCTGGCCAGTGCATCAGCTTTCTCAATTCTCCTTAATCCCCGAGTGTCCAGGGACTCAAGCTATTTTAACTTGGTTCTGCTTTGCTTGTGTTTTAAGGGTGTTTTTGCAACCCTGTCACTGCAGGGCACAAGACACAAGACCTCACCGCCTTTTTTACAACTTGGCTGTCTGAGAGGATCAGTATTTATTTTACCTTTCCTCAGGTTATTGTACAGGATGGTTTTCGCACAGCACTCAACCGCTACGACCTTCGATTGAAATACTGTTGCTGTGCTTCCCAGCGCTAGGAAGATATTGGTTTTGTACACCCCCAACCCCGAACTCTCATCCTTCCGACATCCATTTGTGTATAAAATACCAGGCATATCCTGCTCATCTTAAGACTTCCCTGTTGCCAAGCGTTTTTCTCCTATAGCAATTTGGTAAGAAATCTCAACGTCATACTCCTTGGTCATGAGGTCTGACATTGGTAGTTCCATATCCATACTCGGGAAGTCCCTTAGTATGGACAGGTGTCCAGTCCCATCGACGTTCGGCCATAGACTATTGGCAATTATTTCATATGTCCAGGTTCCATTCAAAATTAAAGTACGATCCACAGATTTTTTCCGTAAATTTCGCGGTTTTCACAGTTGACTGGTCACCCTGGGTTTCGTATTTCAGAACCCATAGATTTTTTCCATTTAAATACAGTACAATATTTTCCCTAACAGGTGGTTCAGATTAGCAAAAATTTAGATTATTAGGGTTCAAACTAGTGGGGCTGTGGTGTATTATTAAAATAAAGAGTTAAAAAGACTATATTAGAACGTCAGACCTCTATTTTTTGCACTATTGCCGAACAAGCCCGAACTCTGTGGAACACATCTGAACCGCGAGTTTGCCCAAACCTATTTTGTAGCCTGAACTAAGTTTTGAAGATTTTTGGTCGAACCTGTATCCTCACTCAAGGCTGTTAAGAATTTATAAGCAGGAAATCATTACAGTAATATAGGCCTTATAGCACTAATAGAATCAGTGACTCACAAGCTGCAATTTGGTGGTAGTTTGCAGAAGACACCTTCCCAACCTTTGTGGAGGCAAGGGTAACATGATGGTTCGCTGGAAGACTGCCCCCGGACAACTACCCTACTAAATAGGTTCCTACGTTATGTTCTTGCAGAGATTGGGGGGAGGCAGTTTTCCAACCACGGAAACTCAAGTTTCGTTGTCAAACTGTTATAAAACCTAATCTAACCCACCAAACTTGCTTTAACATTTCAAGATCCTGTTAGATATTCCCCACATGCCTTTTCTGTTATCAAACAAAATTACAAAATTAAAATTATAATTACATAGCATCACATTTTGCTATGGGGGGTAGTATTCCAGTCGTAAACACGGTTCCCATATTGGTTAGTTGCCAGATTTTGTGACGTCACTTTTCTCTAGGGGAGTGGTATTCCGCATCCCCAACATCTGTGAAGGTGAGATCTTTGTCAAGCTCAGCGGAGCGCTGAGGTTAACCTCTTTGAATGTTTCCGTCACTATGTGGTCAATAGCTCACTCCACTAATCGGACAATCTGTGCCAAGTCGAGTACTATACATTACACATGTTAAAATTTAGCTTAAGGACATTAGCTACAATCAACTAATGTACTGCATGTCACTGTTCATTTGGCTGAAGGTCTCTGTCGTGAACGACGAATATAATAAAAATAGCTAGGAGTCTTAAGCGTACAAGTGATCTGTACAGCGCTTGACTCTAAGAAGGTCAGCGGCACACAACACACAACATGTACAGGTTAGGTCCAAGGCTGTTACCCTGAGGAACACCATGCCATTTAGCAAGGGTATAAGCCCACTTCCCAATCTGGTTACCTTATGTTTGTTTTTGAGTTACTGTTAAACTAGGGCTGATAAAATTTTGGGTTCGTGTCAAGTAGTAAAATACTTCAGGTTCTGATAATCTTTGTTTAGAGCTAAAAAATATTTATAAAATTCACAATATTAAAGTTTTGAGGATTTTGGGAAAATTTAAATTTGTGGATGAAAAAATGTGTTTTTGGATCTGTCCTTTCAACCACAAAAGAACTATATCATCATTACCTTTTGGATGCTAGGTTCATGAAGTCATTGAATTTTAATTCGATGCACATTTAACCATATGTGTAAATGGCAATTTTACATTATTAATTGTTCTTGTCTTAAAAATGGTACCTGCTTCATCTTAAAAATAATTTAAGAGTTAAGTTACAGCTTCATGTTGAATAATTTATCTTTGATATTGGTTTTATCCTACTTATGTAAAATGGAATTTAACTAGGAAAACACTTTTAACTGTATGGATTCAAACTGACTGTATGTTGTATAAGAACTTTCCATGGATTCGTTACCAGCCAAAATAAGTCACAGTGATAAATAATTGAAATTCCTTAATCATTTTCTGGTGTACAAGGAAATACATATTTATTTTACAGCCCTAATTGTTATGTTATGTCTGATAGCTTATACAATATTTTCAACTGTAATTTATTTAATAGTGTGTATGTAGATCAAAATTCTAACTACTGTACCTATTGTTTACTTTCCACACAAATCCTTAACTATTCAAAAACCTGTAATACAGACTAAAATACACCACCTGCTTACGATTTAATTGAAAACGCCATTAGAATACGACAAAATGCCCGTTTTCCTTAGTCGTGAGAAAGCGCCGATGAGAGATGGAGGCTACAAAAGAGATATCTGATAGTGCGCATTGATGGAATCTATTCTATTTTTAATCATTTTTGTTAGATTCCAAACTGAGGAGGAGGCAGTGGACATTGGGAATAGCACGAACCGTGGGTTGGCTGGTTATTTCTACTCCAACAATGTGAGCCAGGTATGGAAAGTAGCCAAACTGTTGGAAGTGGGGATGGTTGGGGTCAACGAAGGTCTCATATCATCGGCAGAAGCTGCGTTCGGTGGCATCAAAGAATCCGGCATCGGAAGAGAGGGATCGCACTACGGCCTTGAAGAGTACACTTACATCAAATACATTTGTTTTGGCAATCTACAGTAAGATTGGAGAATTTTGAAATTTGTTTGGAGTTTAAAGTTTCTGTTTTGAAGATAGGAAATATGTTAAGAGAAGATAGTGAGGTTAAAATCATAAAATGTTTGGTTATTGATGTTGAATTTATGAACTTGTTTAAGCTGGTCAATTGATGTTTAATTGCAATTGTTTAACGGAGAATTACTGTTTGGACAAGTTAATCATAAAAGGTGCAGGCAGACATTATCATTTTTATTTTTCAATATTATACATTTATTTATTTTGGTTTTTTCATTCAGTAATTTGACGTTTTGGATCAAATTTTCAACTGAATCGGCAAAATATGAAAGAAAAAATATATTACGAACAATCATTGTATCTATACATGCTCTATGTATTTTTTCAGTTAGCATTTAGCAATGCTTGTTTACTTTACTAAATTTTTCCCTAAACCAGACAAATAATCAATGTTTTGTTTTGGTTGTATTTTTTGCCCCAAATATAGGTTCCAAATATTTTACATTATATTAATGTTTTTGTTGAATTTTAAAAATGTTCTAACAAAGTAAACTTAAGATGATTTGAACTTTAAGGAAGTATGAAAAATAAAACCAAATTTAAATATATTTTAGCCAAAGCAATAAAAAACAATTATGACAGGATAAAGACTGATATTAAAGTAACAAAACTCTAACTCTAACTTTTTTGCTCAATAGATATTCATGGTTAAATTCTAGCATAACAAAAAAGAAAAACATTTAAGGATTTCTTATAAGGTAAAGTTGGTGTATTTAATCTGACTTGGAACAGAAAAAACTGGTTTTCACGCTTAGATGAAAATGTTTGCAAGGCAACTGGCTGCCAATGAGCAATTAAAAATCATAAACAAGTAATTAATAAGTTCTGTACCTTTTACTGTTTTTTGTTTCAAACGTGTATTCAATAATACCCATTAGTCACCATTATTTGTTTGTGATAGTAAAGTGCCATTCCCTTAGGTTTATTTTAGTGTATTTTTATAGTATAATTGAGTTCCTTTATGAAATGTAGTAACTCATACTCAGTACTGAATTTTTTAACTGTTTTTGGTTCTTTTACCCTTTTTTTTTTTTTTTTTTTTTAGCAACATGGTGTAAGTAGATATTTTTGTTAACCAAAACTTTGAGTGACGACATGCGTTTCATATTGTATATCATTGGACAGTACAGGAATTACTTTTGTTTTAGAATAGTATTAAGTTTATAAATGTTATTTTGTTAAATTTTAAAGTTTTAACTTATAATATAGTAGTATATTCCTATAAAATTATTTATCTCGAAATTTTTTTAAAACATACATTGCAAGATAGTAATAAACTAAATGCAAAAATAATTATTTGTCGTAGTATTGCATATTATGTAGTTTAATCAATAATTTGAAAACCATAAGGTTATGTTATACATTTAATTTTATATTTAGGATTTGTTAGTTTTATCATATGTTTATTAAGTTCCATGACTGTTGTAGTTTTATTGTTACACATACTTCATAGTGTTTATGTAGTCTTCCAAGCAAACTCATGTGATAGTAGGTCTTCCAAATCACTCGGATACTAAGCTATTCCGTTGATGTTTAACGTAAATAAATGCAATAATAAAATTATTTATCTTATATTCTTGTAGAATCCTAATTATCACATCACATAAGGTTTATAAGTTTCATGTATGAATTATGATTGTTGTATTGAGTGTTTTAACAAACTATGATACCTAAAAGTATCTGAGTTGGACAGTTGCCTTATCCTTAAGCACAGAGAAGTAAGATACAGAGGGTAAAAAAACTTATGGGACAACCGTGTGCTTTTAGCTCTGGTATGTTGGGGAGGAAATGTACTAGTATCGAGCAAGGAATAGCCCGAATGGCGATGGCCACATAGCATTGTTGTACAAAAGTCGTAGCGCACAGGGTCTTCCTATAGTGTGAGCACTGTAGTACGTGATGACGAGGCGAAAGGAGAGCAGGAGGGGACGACAAATAGAATTTGCTCTAGACACAAGCGACTGGGGCTAGCGACTGGTACCACTTAAGTGTACCATTGAATGTATCCTCGGTTTCTTACTTTTCTGTGCCATAAGTGATAATTAGACTATGTCAGTTCTCACCTTGCGTAACTTTGTTCTCATTTATTTCCAAGATTTAAATAAGCATATTTGTAACTTTAGAATAGACAACATAATTATGAGACTGTATGAAGAATCAACAACTTCTGTTTAGTAAAACGAATCATCATAATATTTGATCTTTACATCAGAAGCAGTGATGATTTTTTTCAGTCGGTATGTTTATGTCTTTTGTTGATGCGAGATCCAAATTTTCAATATTTTACTCAGACTGTTTTTGTTGCATTGAACAAACACATAGAAAACTTGGTCTTTTCTTAAGGTTTATATTCAACTGTCCATCAACAATGCGATACGTTTTTGTCACATATACAAGGTAACATAAAAAGAAAATATGTATACATACATGAATACATAAATGTGAATTCAAACAAATAGTGTTTTTGGCCTCTTTGGACATCTAAATGAAAAAATAGATTGGTCCGCTATCTAGGCCTTTCCGTGCCGCTTACTTTAATTGCTTCTCGAAAATTATTAAGCGTGTAAACAAAATATCATAAAAAAGAAAGTGTTAAATAAAAGAAGATTTTGATAAAATCAAAATAAACAATTCTTACACATTGCTTATCTCGATATAAAACACACACAATCCTAAAGCATATTTTAAAAGTGACATCCTCTTAAAGCAGTAAAACTATATATCCCAACTTGAATACATTCAGAGCTTGCACATGCTAACAAACATAGACTACAAACAATTAAATCTTCCAAAACAATATGAACAACGAAGATAATGTGAGTTAAGGGTGCTAAACGCAGTGTAATATTATATGGAGGGAAGAATTCAGCTAAGATGTCAGGACCTAGATGAATAAGCAAGTCGGTCTATTTTTGTGAAATGAGTCATGACTACTTCTTGTGAAGCTTAACAGCTGTGTCTGTCTTGTCAGTTTTGGCTGTTGAGTGGGTCGCTTGTTGTACTCAACACTCTCACTGTGTTGGTGAAACCGTAGTCCTACCACCTTGCAGTTCCCGGGTTCAAATCCTGCCAATCACCAACGTATATCTAAGTGATGATCATCTAGACCAGCGGTTCCCAACTCGCTGGGGTCCGTAGACCACTTAATCAGACAGTAACAGTATCAGGAACAACTATTTGCTAGATGAAATCAAAACACAAATTATTAACAATACTAAAAGGCAATAAAATAAATACATTAATACAAACATAATGTTTATTTTTACATTTGAGAAAATCACATTCTTATTGTAAAATTTATATAAAATAAAACATATTCTCATTGTACAGTTATTTCAAAAGTTTTACAAAACTTTTTTAAGAGTTTTAATGTAAATACAGTTACACTGTTTGTCGTTTTCTAGCAATGTTTTCAGTGCGACTTTGATTTTTTTTAAATATTTGATCTACTCAATGCATTGTTATATTTTTATTTTCTCATAGCCTATAATTTTTTTTCAATTGAATATCCTTCAATAATACTATTTGTCACCTCCAAGTCCCCAGCTTAATTTATCGACACTATCAAGTCTTATTTTGTGTTAACGTTTAGCTAAAAAACCATATTCCTGTAGTGAAGTCCCAGGCTCTAACCTTTAATTGTACAACAATGCTTCAATGTTCAAAATTGATTTTTTAAGCTCTACACAATGGCTGTAATGAAAATTGAGTATTTCTTTGTTTCGTAGGTGAAAAGTTGGAAAAACAATTTTTGAAAAAACTTGAAAACCCCATTTCTATTACTCAATCTTGCTGGTTCTCGAGCTCTATCAAATTTATCCAGCTCTTCACATTCAAATTTTAATCCAAATTTAATCAAAATTGGACCAAAACTACTAGACTGATTGTGTTTTCACACACACACACACATGTATAAACATTTGAACAAATTGTGTTTTTGGCCTCTGGGGACGTCAAAATGAAAAAGTAGATCGGTCCCAGGTCTATGTCTTTCTGTTTCAACTACCGTAATAGCTTCTTCCCTTCAGGAAAATTCGCTAACACCCGAACCCCTTGCTAAGAATGTTGGGGTTCCTCAAGGCTGCTGCTTGGGGCCAGTTCTGTACAGCGAACACTATTAGTTTCATCAGCTGTGAAAATTGTACACATGCATGTAGACGATGCTCAGTTGGACTAGCTATTTAATCCATATTGCAGAGTCCATTGAAGCAATCAATGTAGACCTAGAGAAAATCTCTTAGTGGTCTTAGATTTATAGTCTCAAATTGAATACAAAAAGTACACTGTTTTGCTAACTGTACTTTTGAACCTGGTTCAGACCCTGCAAGAAAATTATGTGAATGTCTTGCATGGTCGTAAAGTTATAAGTCTGGCTATGTGGGACGGAGCTAAGAGCCTTTTGCCATGAAATATTGGTCTGAATTTTTCAGATCAAGTCACATATGTTTCTATGCTCTAGGACCAAGTTACAGGTTCTGAAGCTTGTTGGTTAAGGTTGCCAACATTGATACCTTCTATATTTGACTGAAGTTCCTTGAGGATGGCAACAGTCCATGGAGAATATACATTGTTTGAATACAGTCGGACCTCTATTAAAGGAATTTCAAGGGGTAGGGGAAAAATTTGTATTATCGAAGTATTCTTAATAAAGAGGTTTGTTTCATTGAGGTTCAATACTGCTGTTATTCCTCTTATAGAGGTTTCTCCTCGCTTTTTTGACAATGACTGAGGAAGGAAGAGGGATGGGTGTAGGTTTCACGTTGAGGCAAGCTTCTGTTTGCTTTGGAAACTTGGTACTATCGAGGTTAAGATCATGAGAAGTTCATCTTATGGAGGTCGCATTCGTCTTGTATAGGTTTTGTGCGAAGAATATCCGTTGTATAGAGGTTAATCAGTCCTAGAACCCCACCTGATAGTGAACTTCATTAAGGAGTTAGGATTGGAGGGGGTTCTCTAGGCAAAGACTGGAGACTAGTTTGGGAGACAAAATAGATCTTTACAGGTCGCAGTGTAATCTTCCCCCAGTTATCATCAGTATCAGTAAACAGTCCTAGTGGCCTAGTCCATGTCACAAAAAAATTCGTCTTATGGAGGTTTTGAACCGAATTACTACATTGTACAGAGGTGGTTTTAGTAATGAACATTATGAAAGATTCAAGAGGATTAAAAAAAAATTGTAGAGGATATTTCTTTACCGAGGTTTGTACTAACGCAGTTTGACTGTTCAGCAAACTCATAATTCAATAATCAACTTTGATTTTTGCGTTAAAAAATTTGATTGTGGGCCCTTCTTCCTAAATCAGGCAATAGAAGTTACATACAGGTCACCTGCATATAATTTAGTATGGACTACATTATATATTTGAAATGTATAGACTTTCCATTTGATCTAAGAATCCCTCATCAGTTGGCAAATGATGCCACTTTTAGGTCA